GTGATATAAACAGTGAAATGGTTCAAGTGCTGATACTGGGGGAATATCTCACGGCTGGAAAAGGCTCTCAGCCAATCAGATTCCAGAACCAGAAAGAACTGTTGTATATATATGTGTGTGTGTGTGTGTGTGTGTGTGTGTGTGTGTGTGTGTGTGTGTGTGTGTGTGGATTCTGATTCATGTGCACACATTTTTCAGACCTTGTGAAGCGTTTAATCGATTAAATGAAAACATCCAAATCAAAAGAAATAACCATTTACAAATTGGACTTTGCTAGAGTCAGTCTTTAGTTATTCTTTGTTTAATTATTTTGTACTATTGTTTAAAAGTTTGGGGTCAGTGCGTTTTCAAAAAAAAAAAGATATTAACAATTTTATTCAGCATGGACGCATTGAATCGATCTATATAACTATAAAGACATTTATCATGCTTTAAAAAAGACTTCTATAGTAAATACATGTTGATATTTGGAACTTCCTATTCATCAATTAATTCTGATGAGTAAAAAAAAAAAAGATCACACTTTCCACAAAAAATATGCAGCAGCACGACTGTTTTCAACACTAATAATAATCAGAAATATTTCTTGAGCATCAAATCATCATATTAGAGTGATTTCCGAAGGATCATGTGACACTGAAGACTGGAGTAATGATGCTGAAATCCAGCTTTGATCACAGGAATAAATGACATTGTTATTTTAAATTGTAATAATATCTTAAATAAATGCAGCCTTGGTGAGCAGAAGAGACTTAAAAAAAAATATTACCAACCCCAAACTTTTGAACAGTAGCTATGTATGAGTGTGTACTTTTTTTTCTAGTGGTAGAGCCAAAAAAAATGTGTTTAACTTGTGGCTGAAAAAAACAACACATGAGAACTGAATAAGAATATATGAACAGCTCTAAGTCTAATGCCACACACACACACACACACACACACTTCTGATCTGAGAGCCAGTGCAAGTGCCTGGATCCCCATCGGTGCCTGAGGATTGGAAAACTCTTCCCTTTTCTTTTAATTAGCTCACTGGAATAATTTTTATCGCGTTTTCACATGGATCTGTCATAAGCTAAAGACTGCAGAAAGTCTTTCGGAAACCTCTTCGTTATATTTAAGTTATATTTCTTTAAGTCTCCAAGGATCCGTTTCCTATTTTCTGTAAGGGTCACATTTTCCTAGAGGTATACGGTTGGCTAGAGCGGATAATTTTTTTTTTCACATCGATCGAATGCCCAGACTTAATTACGTTTGATTTTCTTCAGGTTACTTCCTGGTCTGATAGTCATCAGTCATCTCTAACCAGAGCGGCTCGTTGTTGCGACAGATTTCACAATCTGATTGGCTTGTTATCCGTTCAGGAGGTCGAGTTGAAACTATTGATCATTTGGCTGAAAGTGGAATCTAATAGGCCTGTATCACGATGAAAGCTTCAACGACACACTGCAACTTGTTGTTTCATGTTTTTAGGTATCACTGGATTTTTTTGGGGAGCTGAAAACCACACAGGAGTAATTGGAGCAGAGTAGGGAGCAGATCTAAGGTTTTCCACCCACATGTTCATTAATGAGATGGATCAAGCGATCTGAGGGCAGATTCTAGATTAAGACCAAGACGTTTCTTGTAGAGATCAAGCGCAGATTTATTAAACTTTACTATCTCTTTTCCGGTGTCGATTTCATGCTTTTAAGATCCCAGTGTTGCAAAATTAGGCGTCTACAAAAAAGTTATAATAATATAGTATTTCCATTTAGAAATTGCTTCACTAAAAAAAAAAGACAATGTGTTTATTTTTTTGCATGGGCTTTTTTAAGTTCAACTTTCTTCCTAAAAGATAACTTTTTTTTAAAAGTCCCCCTGTAGTCAATAATTTTATCGCTTAAAACTCATCTTTGATCACCAAAATGACACATTTAAATGCTTTTTCCTTGAAAAATAATTCTTCATGCCTTAAAATAGCTTGAATGTAACTCGACACCCTTGCCGCATTTAGTATACGCGGTTCTATGAATATGCAAATGAGCCCCGCCTCCACTCACTCACTCAGCTCAGAGATAGACTCGTTGACGATCACACGTTGATCTGATTGGTTACAAGGTAGTTTGTGACGTCAGAAACACCAGCGATTTCAAACCGTGTTTTTGAGACTGTCTTTGGTTCACTGCAGTTTTAAGCAGAAATACTCAGCAATGCTGTCGACTTTTGCTTTAAAACAAACCGTGTACAACTGCATATTAAAACACCACATAGAAATACAAACAACATTAAACACTTTATTTTCACCACAGGGGGACTTTAATTTTGTCAGTTCAGTTGCAATACACTGGACAAGGATCAGTTGGATGAACACAGTAAATTAAGTTTAGTTTACTTCAGTTTAGCTTAAATTAAAAGGTGTAGCAAATTTCACAAACAGAAACGGGAAGTTACACATTGAATGAATGAAACATGACATTTTAAAGTAGAAAGACTGAAATGTATTTTTCTTGTAAAACCTACAAAATTTTTATTTACAACTTTAAAAAAATATTTTTTTACAGTGAATGTTTTTGTGCTGCTACAGGTGAAACTCGAAAAATTTGAATATCGTACAAAAGTACATTTATTTCAGTAATTCAACTTAAAAGGTGAAACTAATATATTATATAGACTCATTACATGCAAAGTGAGATATTCAAATTTTTCGAGTTTTACCTGTATATGTTGCAGAGTTTTATCAAAATACATGACTTCTTTTGAATGAGCAACATGCCTTTTGCCCTCTTTTTGCCCTAACTTCTAAAGCTAAACAGCTAAACCTTGCTAAGGTATTATGGGCGGTTGCTAGTTGGTAACTTAATGACTCAAGTCTTCAAGTCCTCAATAAGCTGTAGATGAGAAATATAGTAATGATCCTTGTGTTAACAAACACCACTGTCAGAACTGAGATGGTCTCAAATATTAATTCAAACTTACTCTTCAGCTTTAGCGACTGGCTTCTGTTCAAGCTTTACTCAGTTAGCCATCTGAAACACAAGGCCTTTTCCCTGCTGTCTATGAGAAACATTTGCAGCATGAGTGAATCACGCCATCAAACACTGAACGCCGGGGTCTTGCGGCTCCCAAGTGATTTGTTAAGTTCGAGAGTCGCAGTCTATGTTGGCACAGCAAAAAGTCCTGATTCCCAACAAAACTGAAAAGAAAAACAAAGTTGCTAGCTCTTTGGTGCGCACTTCTTCATTGTGATTTTGCCACAGTGAATTAAGCCACAGTATTTCTAATGTTGGCGAACTTGGCGTTGTTGACTAGCTCTGTTCCTAAACCTTGTGCCTTGCTGTTTACTGTCTGCAATAGTACCTGATCTGCAATAGTACCTGATCTGCAATAGTACCTGATCTGCAATAGTAGCTGATCTGCAATAGTAGCTGATCTGCAATAGTACCTGATCTGCAATAGTACCTGATCTGCAATAGTACCTGATCTGCAATAGTACCTGATCTGCAATAGTACCTGATCTGCAATAGTACCTGATCTGCAATAGTACCTGATCTGCAACAGTACCTGATCTGCAATAGTACCTGATCTGCAATAGTAGCTGATCTGCAATAGTACCTGATCTGCAATAGTACCTGATCTGCAATAGTAGCTGATCTGCAATAGTAGCTGATCTGCAATAGTAGCTGATCTGCAATAGTACCTGATCTGCAATAGTAGCTGATCTGCAATAGTACCTGATCTGCAATAGTACCTGATCTGCAATAGTAGCTGATCTGCAATAGTACCTGATCTGCAATAGTACCTGATCTGCAATAGTAGCTGATCTGCAATAGTAGCTGATCTGCAATAGTACCTGATCTGCAATAGTACCTGATCTGCAATAGTAGCTGATCTGCAATAGTACCTGATCTGCAATAGTACCTGATCTGCAATAGTACCTGATCTGCAATAGTAGCTGATCTGCAATAGTACCTGATCTGCAATAGTAGCTGATCTGCAATAGTAGCTGATCTGCAATAGTACCTGATCTGGAACGCTCTTTATAAGCTGCACAGAAATAGCGTTTCTAACGAGTAGTGCGCGATACTCAACAATTGATTCCACTAGCCTGATGTTAGCATGTTGCTAAGCTAAAAACATCTCTGCACTGGTTATTTTCTGCTCTTGCTGTTTCGTCCAAACAAAGTCGTTATATTGGTATAGACTTAGGCCTATAGTGACTTGGTAATAGGCCAACATATGTCTATTGTTATGACAGTATTTAGCGCCGTATACTTTTCATGTGTTTTCGGCTGGTAAAAGTGCAAATCTGCTGGTGTATATAAATATAATGCAAGAATCCAGCATATATATATACACTCTTGCATTGTCAATACAAGATCCTGACCAAAAATGTATGCACCTTTTGATAAATAAATAAATGTTGTGATGTTATTTCCATCAAGAGGTGCATCAATTTTTGGCCAAGATCTTGTATTGACAATGCAAGAGTCCAGCGCTCTGTAGAGTCTCCTCCAGCACATCCCAAAGACTTTCAGTGAATTTAAGATCTCAGAGGAGACGATTCATGTGTGAAAACGATTCTTCAAGCTCCTCACAACCATTCTTTCCCAATCTGAGCCTGATGAATCTTGACATTGTAATCCTGGAATATGATCATGTTGTGTCTTCCTACATGGTTGTTTAAGAGATGAAAAGCTACACACTCCATTAATTAGGGTTAGAAGAACTGTTGCCAAACATATAAAATGCTAGAAACACAATAATCACTGCAATAATGATCCAATCACAGATTCTTAAGCATTTGCCTGTTTAAATCCAAACAGCCACTTTTTTTGGCCGGGCAGTGATATATACAATTATTTTCGTCCACCAACATAAGGCAACATAATGTTGAAGCCTTTGTGTCATCTTATGAAGCTTTAAAATACTAAGTAGGCAGCTCACTCCATTCAGAGATACTGCTTCAGTAACAGAGCTTTGTAATGGGGCGAATTCAGTTCTGTGTGCTTACAGGAGTTTGAAGATGATGCACTTTTTCCTGAAACTCATCTAGTGAACTGGTGAACATCTAGGCCAGACTGACAGGACGCCCCGAAGAGAGGAGCACATCAATTTAGGTTAGTCAGACAGCTTTGTCTGGTTATCCCACAGGCTGTGTGGGAGACGTTTGTGTGAGTGTTTATGTGGTTTCCACCTCACTACATTCACCATTTCCTGTTACCATGTTTTCTCCAGAGCCATGCTGTCAATCCAGCTCTAACCTGGCGTATCAGCATCCGCTGACCTCCGTTCATTGCCAAGGACGTGAAAACCTAATAAAGTATGAGACATGGGACCAATTTTCCTCTCCATCTTTGGTAACAGGTGAGTTTTCCTTCTGCTTCAGTCTGTGAAACACACAGTGAGCTCTACAGAAACTACAACAGGGAAATGAAGTATCCTGGTGCGCTTTTTAAAAGATTCGCCAAGGCAACACACGCATGAGATCTCATTAATGGATTTACACTTCATGACGAGTTTCACCAAAATAATTTTTTTATAAAGTGGCCACTATTTAAAATCATTTTGGTGTATTTGAACTCGATCGGTGGTGTTTTAGACATGGTTTTTTTTTTTTCCCCCTCTGAAATATGGTGGTATTGAATATTTTTCAATATTTATAGAATGTAGGAGGTATCTAAAAATGACATGAAATTGAAACTCTCCTTGTCTTATTGTGCATGATTCATCAGTGCACATTTTTTTTCTAAAGAGGAAAAGAAGATGGGTTTCATTATCTTTTATCAAAATGTAATAACTTTCTCTGCCTTTGAAATGATTTTTCCCTTTCTGCAGACCCAATCAATACAGCCTTTAAGTCCTCCAAAGTTCCTACTTAGGAGTTTGCAAATTGCAATTATGACATGCGTACAAGTAATTTTCATTATGATAAAACAGATGTGTTGTACAAAACTTTCCCTGATTCCCCATCAAAGACTGAAAGGAAGCTAGAAGCTAGTTATTTTAGTCGATAAAGTTTTAAATATGGATATTTTTCTCACACGAACGCATCGCTTTGCTTCAGAAGGCCTTTATTAACCCCCGGAGACGCGTGGAGCACTTTTATCATGGATGGAAGCACTTTGATGGACTTCAAAAAATATACAGCCATTATAAAGCTTGGAAGAATGTAACTCCGATTGTATTCGTCTGAAAGAAGAATGTCATATACACTGACTTGAGGGTGAGTAAGTCATGGGCTAGTTTTCACTTTTGGGTGAACTTTCCCTTTAAGTCTCGTGCACACCGGGACGATTATCCAGGCGCTTATCGCTGACGTTTAACGCTTTGTGACTAAACAAAGGGCGCCAATGTGAGTATGCACCCCGACGCGCAAAACAACCAGGCTTAAAATCGTAATAAAAATGTAAAAAACGCCTCAGGTTCGTTTTTTTCTTTGGTTTGACGTGCCGTGTTAAAAACTGGCCGACCAATGAGATTGGCTCTTTTGTTTACGTGCCTGGAGCTCTTGGTGGCACTCAAGCACAAAACGGTCTTGCCGAGCACACATTGATAGAAGAAGACGACGAAGAGGAAGTAAGCAGACGAAGAAGAAGAGCTGGTGTCTGAACACAAAGAACTTTATGACAAACGCCACAGCGACTACAGAAATCTCGATAAGAGGGAGTTATGGAGAGGAATTGCAGATCAAATTGGATTTGATTAATAAGCGCAATAAGCGCCATCTACTGTCAGGGAGTGAATTTGCACATTTGCAGTGAAAATCGCTTGAACACAAAGACGCGTAGAACAATGTCACGAAAAACGCTGGCGATAAGCGTGCACGGTAATCGTCCCGGTGTGCACGAGGCTTTAGGGTGTGGTTGGACATTAGCTCCACCCATTAGGCCCATTACATTCCCTCCTCCTCGCTGGATGTAAGCTCCACCCATTTGCTCTGCAGTGAGCAGCCTCTCATTAAAGGGGCAGCGGCTCAAGCCTCCCTCTTGATGGCAGTGAAAAGCTGCATAAAGTCAAGTACTACCCATTAGCCTGGATGCCAGCCCGAACCCCGCACACAACATTTTTTGGTCGGGAAGTTCGGTCTGGACTCGATCCATTGAGGAGTAATTATGATCGGTTCAGAAATGGTCGGGCCAATCAGATTGCCAGGGCGGGCTTTATACGATGATGGACAGATGATCTGCAGTTACGTAATCATCACGTTATCAAAGAGCGCTTGGGTTGAACTGGTTTCCCTCAGAGATGACTGCCGCTGGAGAACTGAGATGTAGAGATTCCACTATCGCGTCTGTTGTAAAAGAAATCGGCAGCGCATTCATTTTAAAAGACGAACAGAGAACTGCAATCAAGGCATTTGTCGATCGGAAAGATGTGTTTGCCGTCTTTCCAACGGGATTCGGCAAAAGTTTATTTTATCAGCTGGCTCCGATGGCCGCTAAGAAGATGGGACGCAATGAAAGCCCTGTGGTCGTTGTGGTTTCTCCTTTGGTCGCACTCATGGAGGACCAAGTAAAAGAAGCAACACTCATTATTTTACTACTTCTTCCAGCGTGCGTGCATTTGAGTTCTGTTGACAACTATGCGTAGCTCAACATACGTCACTTACTGCGTTGCTCTGATTGGTTGTAGGTCTATCCAATTGAGTGCAGAGGTTTTTTTTTCCTGGTTCGGTTAAGACACGCCTCATAATCAAAGCCCTATGGAGCAGTATCAGACTCACATTCTGACTAGACTATGAGTATGACGAAGTCAGGCTAACTACCCATGATTATTTTATGCTGAATATCCTCTGAAATACTGCCATATGTCTTGCGAATATCATTCCAATGTTGTCTTGACCGTAAAATCAGGTGAATTGCAGTGTTTGGAGTCAGTGGTGCACAGCAGTGGCTTCCCTGTGTGTCCGGTGGCCCATCTGAGGGGCATTAGTGCTCTGTGCTGCGCTCGACTTGATCTTTCCAGAGACCAGCTGCATAAACCTGAGCTCTACAGCACAATGGCCTTTTATCTGTTAAGCTTCAGATCTGTCCTAAAAGAAAATAAGAGCTGCCTTTTTGATATTGTTCATCTGAAATCATGGCTGATTCTCCGGCTCAGATTCTGCTGGTTTAACAATAAAGCTACTTTGAAACTGGCATGCCAAACCACAAGTTATACTAATCATTTTAAAGTGGCTCGACTACTGTCAAGCTGCACCCTTTTGAAAAAATCGTTAAACACTTTACAAGCTACTGAAGCCATTTATTTAAGAAAGAAAGAAAACACCATTTATCGCAATTTTGTTGTAGTTTATGTTATAAATATTATAATATTATTGTGTAAAACGGGTGATTTTAGTATACCATTGATATACTATTATAGTTTTTGTTCATGTTTTGAATTACATTAATTTTTTATATTTTCTGGTTTAATTTTAATTGATTTTTATAGTTAAAACGACTGATTTGTAGTTTTTAGTGTTTTATATTTTATTTATTTAGACAAAATATTATATAAGAATATTAACTTACTATTTACCTTTTATTGGTTATGCCATAACATGAAAACAATTATCAGATTATTGGTATAGATAAATATATAAATATAGTATATCTGTTCACTCAGCTATAAAACATGTGCAAAAAAAGTGATGCATTTTGGCATGGTGTTATTTTAGTATATATATATAGCTATATATATAGCTATATATATATATATACACTCACTGGCCACTTTATTAGGTACCCCATGCTAGTAACGGGTTGGACCCCCTTTTGCCTTCAGAACTGCCTCAATTCTTCGTGGCATAGATTCAACAAGGTGCTGGAAGCATTCCTCAGGGAGTTTGGTCCATATTGACATGATGGCATCACACAGTTGCCGCAGATTTGTCGGCTGCACATCCATGATGCGAATCTCCCGTTCCACCACATCCCAAAGATGCTCTATTGGGTTGAGATCTGGTGACTGTGGAGGCCATTTTAGTACAGTGAACTCATTGTCATGTTCAAGAAACCAATTTGAAATGATTAGAGCTTTGTGACATGGTGGAAGTAGCCATCAGAGGATGGGTACATGGTGGCCATAAAGGGATGGACATGGTCAGAAACAATGCTCAGGTAGGCCGTGGCATTTAAACGATGCCCAATTGGCACTAAGGGGCCTAAAGTGTGCCAAGAAAACATCCCCCACACCATTACACCACCACCACCAGCCTGCACAGTGGTAACAAGGCATGATGGATCCATGTTCTCATTCTGTTTACGCCAAATTCTGACTCTAACATCTGAATGTCTCAACAGAAATCGAGACTCATCAGACCAGGCAACATTTTTCCAGTCTTCAACTGTTCAATTTTGGTGAGCTCTTGCAAATTGTAGCCTCTTTTTCCTATTTGTAGTGGAGATGAGTGGTACCCGGTGGAGTCTTCTGCTGTTGTAGCCCATCCGCCTCAAGGTTGTGCGTGTTGTGGCTTCACAAATGCTTTGCTGCATACCTCGGTTGTAACGAGTGGTTATTTCAGTCACTGTTGCCCTTCTATCAGCTCGAACCAGTCTGGCCATTCTCCTCTGACCTCTGGCATCAACAAGGCATTTCCGCCCACAGAACTGCCGCTCACTGGATGTTTTTTCTTTTTCGGACCATTCTCTGTAAACCCTAGAGATGGTTGTGCGTGAAAATCCCAGTAGATTAGCAGTTTCTGAAATACTCAGACCAGCCCTTCTGGCACCAACAATCATGCCACGTTCAAAGTCACTCAAATCACCTTTCTTCCCCATACTGATGCTCGGTTTGAACTGCAGGAGATTGTCTTGACCATGTCTACATGCCTAAATGCACTGAGTTGCCGCCATGTGATTGGCTGCTTAGAAATTAAGTGTTAACGAGCAGTTGGACAGGTGTACCTAATAAAGTGGCCGGTGAGTGTATATATATATATATATTTTTTTATATATATGATGAATCAGCTTTTTTATTTTTTAGCTTTTATTTTCAGGACTTTAGTTTAAGTTTTAATTTTGTGCTTTTTAATTATTTGTGTTTTTTTATTTGTATTTGGCATCAATTTATTTTCATGTAATTTTTAGTAATTGTAGTACTTCAAATTATTTTAGTTTGTCGACAATGCAGCATTCTTTTAATCTAATATTTATTAAATAATTATAATACTTAATTTTATTTCATCTTTATTTCAGTTGTCAGTTTTTAAAAAACAGATTTACTTTTTTCACTGTCTGGAAAAATTTATTGTTGTTGAACAATGTAAAAAACCTAATAATTATTGGATTATTGAAGTATGTTTTACAAGAAAATACCATTTCTGTCTTTCTACTTCAAAATTTCTACTTCATTCAATGTGTTTCTTGCCATTTCTTTGTAATTGTGAAATTTACTTGCAACTTCTGAGTGAAAATTGTTTCTACAGCCATTTTTTTCTCAGTGTAGTTACATTAGTTTCACTAATTCTGACCGCCTTTGTCTGTTTTATTCCTGCGGGGTTTGAAATGATCAAAAGAAATCACACGGTTGTTGAGATTGTCATTGTGGAGATGCAGAGCGCTCGCTATCAGAAGTTTTAATGTGGTTGCTGGCTAATGGCACTGGTGTCTAATCTCCTCTCTATTTATAAATGAGTTTGAAGATATATGGCTTGACTTCAGTGAGTATTTTGTTATCTAAACCACAGGGGTGGGTCAGATGTCAAGAGGAATTTTATATTGCTCTTCTTCACACTGTCTCAAATGTGATTTAAACGATAAAACATGTGCATTTTCAAAGCATAAATACAATATAAGCTTTCTGGGTAATTAAAAAAACAGTAAAATTGATTCTGGCTTTAATTAGGGCCAGAGTGTCTCAGGAGAATCTCTGCATTGAAGTACCTGTTCTGTGGAAGGCTCTGATTGGCTGAGGGCAGGTGTGCCGCCCTGTGATTGGCTGGAGTGAGTCTTTGATCAAGCATCTGCTGTGCTGTGGTTAATCAGAAGCACGTGAATTCCCAGAGCTCATTATCTTAAGACTCGAGGTGCACGAGCAGGTCGCGCTCGCGCTCGCGCTGCCACATCACTAATGTCGCACCGTCACGTTAGATTTGATAATAACAACAGCTTTATCTCAGCTGATATAACTAGCAGCAGACGGCTATTGTGTGAAAACCAGTGGTGCCTTTACTTGTACATGGAGTACAGTGAGCACTTTGGAAACTTAAGCATTTAGAAGTAATTGCAATCCTCTGGTAATAACATTTCTCGACTGTGGGTTGGATTACAAGTTGAAATCTCAGTGAGTTATAGCTTCTAAAGTTTGAGATTTTGTTTAATACTTTTATTCAGCGGGGACACATTCAATTAATGTAGGCTAAGTGACTCTGAAGACATTTATAATGTTACAAAAGATTTCGATTTAAAAAAAAAATGCTGTTCTTTCAAAGTTTCTACTCAAAAGAACCCTGAAAATAAAGATATATCACGGTTTCCACAAAAATATGAAGCAGCTGTTTTCAACATTTATAATAATAAAAAGAAATGTTTCTTGAGCAGCAAATCAGCATATTAGAATGATTTCTGAAGGATCATGTGACACTAAAGACTGGAATAAAATTCAAGTTTTGCATCACAGGAATAAAGTACATTTGAAAAGATATTCAAATAGAAAACAGTGATTTTAAATAGTAATAATATTTCACAATATTAGTGTTTTTACTGTATTTTGTATCAAATAAATGCAGAAGAGACTTATTTCAACATCAACAAATCTTACCAACCATAAACTTTTAAACAGTTTGTATGATGCATATTAATATCTTTGGAGCTCATTCTTGGTTTTTATGTTAGTAAAGTTTTCCCCTGAAGAAAATTAATGAATTCAATTACTTTACGTTAAAGAGGCCATGCATTATTACTATTTTATTTCTTGTAATCACAATCAGCAATAAAAAAAACTGTGATCTTGAAATAATTTTCTTGTGAAAAAAAAAAAGTATTTTACTGTATATAATATGTAGAGAAACCTGAGACACTAAACTTTAAAGTCAAGGGATTTTTGGCATATTTTTTTAAGCCAAAACCTTGAGAAAGCAACTTTGAGCTTGAACTTTATTCAAAGACTTTTTGAAATTCAATATTCATCGTTTAATCAGTAACATTAGCATTGCTTTGTTAGCACACAGGTCAATATAAGGTCATAATGCTATGGATTTGATTCAATCACTGCACTCAAATGTTATAGTCTGGGTAGATGGATGGATATATGGATGATGGCTGTTAGGTAGAGATGAGGAAGAGTTTCAATCTTGGACTCCATCAACAATACAGAGGCAGAGCGAAGAAAATCTGCATAAACGACCGAGCGAAGCCTCCAGCCGTCAGAACTCAATGGCCGGCGCTGAGAGGAGGAGATGGACGTCTCTGCTTGTGTCTCTTCTCGCCGTCTGTCTCTGTAACAGGATTAAAAGGCCAGATCTGAGCGCTGCCGTGCGGTTCTGCTCGAATAAACGCCAGATCTGCAGGACAACCGGCTTCAGATCCAGAGTTTTGATTAGCCAGACGTGTGTGAATAGATTTTTGATGTGAAATTTAAAGTATTAATCTGCAGTTTTCTTTTTCCCAGCCATGAAAACCCACGCCTGCTAGAACAGCACATCTGCCCTTAATAACTGGAAATCCTCTTCTGTCGCCTGAGTCATGGATGCTGGATTTTTGGGATCCTCTGAAAAAAGGCCACGGAGTGTGTGTCAGATTTTGGTACGTGAGCACAGTGTGTGACTCTCTTCTGAAGCTCTAGAGGTGGCTTGTGATTATATTCTCTCTTAGAAAAAATAAAGCTTCTTGGTCACACTTTATATTTGGTTGTCCTTAAAAAAAAAAGTACAATGCTATTGTGTTGATGCTGTATTGCAACACACCTTTGCTGCTATTGAAGTGAGGGTAAGGGAAGGGTAAACTGTAAATATTGATGTGTAAGTAATTTTTTGAAAATATACATTGTAAAAACAAACATGCATGTATAATAAGTGCATTGTATCAAAAGATCAATTTCAATGTTAGAACATAGGCTATAGTAGTTAAAGACACCTGATATAAAGTGGGACCAAGTTCTTTATTGGCCAAATGAAGAACCTTTAACATCGATGGAATCTTTTCATTCCACAAAAGGTTCTTTATATCGGAAAATGGTTCTTTCGATTATTAAAATGTCCCCAAAAAATGTTTTTAAGAGTGTAGGGTGTTTTTCTCAGGTTACATCTAATTTGGATACTTCGTAAAAAGCATCTTTTTATCTATTTATGGCCTTTTGTCCACGCTGAGAGGGTGTTTTTGTCCTGCAAAAAACATTTTGAAGACTCTCCCGGGTGGATACATTTGAAAACTGTATTTTCGCATTGTAGTGTAAACTGTAAAAACGATTATGTATGTATAATAATTTATAGATATCTATGGTTATACAGGTATGTGTTATCTGCTATTCCCTTTCACAGTGTTACCTAAGATAAATGTAACTTTGTACAATACTCATATTACTTTCCTGTAAAGATGACAAGGGCAATTGAGTTTTTGACCAATCATGTAATAGTGACGCCACCAGTAAGTATTGGGATATTTTACTAATAAAATGATCGTGACAGAAGAATAGCGTGAGAATAGCGTTTGTATATCATGGCGTCTTCGATACTAGGTTGTGGGTTCAATTCTCAGGGGATGCATGAACTAACTATATAATGTCCATCCTGAATGCAATGTAAGTCGCTTTGGATTAAAGCGTCTGCCAAATGATTAAAGCGCCCCATTATGCTATTTTAAAGGTTTTTAATTTTATTTTTGAGTCTTCTACAATAGATTTACATGCATCCGAGGTAAAAAAAAACACATTTTCTCATGATATACATTGCACATCACCTCATTTCTCCAAGAGTCTGGAAACGGTTGGTTCGATGATCCGGTCTCTCTAAACCCCTCCTTTCCAAGAGCCTGTTCTGATTGGTCAGACGGCGTGTCAGAAACGAAATCTGACTTGAAAGCTTCCTCTGTGCTTGATACACAGTGATACGAACAATGGCGTCGGCTTTTCTGTATCAATTCCAGGTTGGGTAGCACTTTATTTAACATGGTATAATTTGACTCATTCCCACAGATTTCGTGATCACACCCAAAGTGTGGTACATAAAGCCGCCTCTCAGCACTAAATTGAGTTATTTTTTGCTGCTTATTGCACTTAAACAGTCAAATACACACAAATGTCAAAATGCTGGTCTTGCGGGAGTATTCACCTAAACACAGTCAGTTATGTTTTAATTGAAGGGAAACAGTGTAACAGCTTGTGTAACAGTGTAATGGATCAGTGTGTCAGGTCTTAAAGTGACAGCAGCCTAATAAACCTGCTGCCTTAATGAGATAACATTAAAAATATCTATATGGCTGTTTTTCCCCATGGTATCGATGTCAAAATTGTGGCCAGTGAAAATGCTGAGTGGCTAGTAACTTTGAAAAACCACTGGCAACAGTGGCTGGTGAGTTAAAAGGTTAATGTAAAGCCCTGTTACCCAGAACTTTCTTAGGTAAGAACGGTGTAAGTGCACGTACTGTAAAATAAAGTCTCATCCTTTTGAAGTGCATGCAAAGTGTATTCGCAGCGCGGTTGCACTTTATTTTACAGTTCGAGTACTTACAGTGTACTTACCTAACAAAGCACTGGGTAATATAAGGTAACTACATGGGTTAGGTTTAGGTGTATAGGTTCAGGGATAGTATCTAGTTAGTTACCCAGTAATATGTTCATAGTACATGTGGAACTGGACTGTAAAATAAAGTGCTACTGCAGCATCCTCTCAGCTGGTGTTCATTCACAAGCAGTTTCTCCTGAGAGCTCTTAAAGTTCACTCCGCTTGTTCTGCATCTGTTTCTGACGAGAGGACTAGAGCGTCTTCAACATGATTACTGTGACATTTAAGTTAAAACAACAACACCTTTGTCTACTTCTGCCACTGGAAATCTTGGTAACAGGATCCCTGCTGGCAAATGTCATTTTGTGTTATTGTTGACTTGGACTCATCAGCGGGATGCATTTGCCAGTTCGGCCCCAGTCCAATTAAACACAAGCGTGATCTGAGGCCTCCAGATCAATCTCTGGGCTTTTCCTCGGTGTACTTTTGGTTTCTTTTGGACTGAAAATGTAATTGGTCAATATACATGAGACCGAACATTTTATTAAACAGTTTTTAAATATTAAACATTACGACTTTTTAAATATAATGTTGAATAAGTAAATTGCTTAATAAAAAATAATGTATTTAATAATGGTATCGGTGTGTTGATGAGGATATACACATTTAGTTTTTTTTTTGTATATTCAAGTTTCATATATATCATGTATTTTTTATAAAATGTCTAATAACACATTTTATAGCTTTTATGGACAGAATAGTTTTCAATGTTTTTTAAAAAGAAGTCTTTTCTGCTCACAAAAGAGGCATTTATTTGATCAATAGATATTTTTTCCATATGAATATATTTTAAAATGTAATTTATTCCTGTGATCAAAGCTGAATTTTCAGCATCATTACTCCAGTCTTCAGTGTCACATGATCCTTCAGAAATCATTCTAATATGATGATTTGATGCTCAAACTTTTTTCTTTTTTTTTACTATTATTATATTTAACAAAGGTATCTGTGTGATGTTGATATCAGTGTTATGGCCTTCAAAGTACTTGGTGAAAAGATTGCATTTAACAAAATACTATATCAAATTTATAATGCTGATTCAACATTAATTGGGATTCTGTAGGCTAATCTTTTTTCAGTTTTTTCATTATATTTGTTTAGGTGTTATTTATTTGTAAAATCTATTTAATATTTTTATTGATATATTTTTATGTATTTTTTAATTATATATTTATTATAAGTCAATATAGAAATGTATATCTGTCTGAGGTGACCCTGAGGTCAGTACCTCTGCATTAGCACACACATAATCAAGTATAAGGGGTGACCTATTATCCTAATAAAATGACATCACAGGGGTCAGAGGTCACACCTGATAGATGCAAAAGGAGGTGTTCTACCTCAGCGAGTTTGCAATTGTTAGAGGTTTAAAAGCTGAACAAATGGCTTTTAATTTTTTTTACTGTAACTGTACCACTGTTTCTGTATATGTTTATAAAATTGACTTTTATTGTTGTTTCTCATAACTATACGTCTGCTTCTCGCTTCTGGGATTCTTCATAAAAGTGCTGGCGGAATGAGTTGATTTAATTTTTTATATTTTGACACACATATGCTAATGCGCCAGTCCAGTGCTTCAGAATCTCTCTGTTTCCTTCTCTTTCAGCAAATTATTCATGTGTGATAAAAATACACATCTACACAGATGGATGTCGACTCTTCCCGAGTGCCTTAGCAACTGGTGTCTCACAATACAAATTTCTCACAGTTTCTCGCCCACCACCGAAACTCTGGAAACTTCCCCACAGCGATGTTTGTTCAGCTAAATTCGGAGTCACTCAGATGGCACTTACACAAAACGTCTTGACTGATATACATCTGTGCGTCCGCGAGAAAAAAAATCACCATCAAATCTTTAACAGAACATATCATTTATCATCCAATCTGAGAAAATAACTAATTTAAGTATCCTGAGATAAACGGAAAACTCTTCTTAAACAGTTTTTGCGGATGAAATATTAGGGAGGAGTGCAGAGGTATTTTCTGAGCTGAGGTTGAGTTATGATTGTTGCACGTTCAAATCCAAATAATCAGACGTAAATTCAACATGAATTTCTATTCTCACTGAACGCTGTTCTGTTGCTACAGATCTGACATTGTGACTTTGACAGATTTGTTGATTGTATAGGCAACGCATTCTTATCCCAACACACGGCACCCTTTAGCGTCAATATAACACGCTTCGGTTATGGGTAGGTTTAGGTCTGGGGTGGTGTTAGGGTTAGACCACTAGGAGGCGCCATATATCTGCGTCTCATATTGACGCTAAAGGGTGCCATGTGCGTTGGATATAGAAGCGTCCGTATATGACGCCTTGGGAGAGTTCTGACAGCATTTTATAAAAGTCCTTTTCAGCAGTAGGAGATTTGAGGCAACATGAGCGACAATGATATATCATATGACAAGAGGAGATCATATTTTGGAGATTTTGCTCGGATTTTGGAGTCTAGTACATTTTAAATGCAGCTTTCAAATTTAAATCTTTTTTTTTAATTTTTTATGAAACTATTATTGTAGATACAAAAAAGGTGTCCAAAGTTGCGTCTGAATTTGGTCCATTGATTGTGTCCCTCAATTGTGTGGTAGCCTACCTTCTGCAGTTAAATGCAGCATTTAAATTTAATTAGTTTTTTTATTTTTAATTTTATTATTATTATTTTTTTTTATTCTTTAATTTTATTTAATTGTATTGTTTCATTTTTTTATTTATTATTATTATTATTATTTTTTATTATTATTATTATTTTATTTTTTATTATTTTATGCAATGCAATTCAATGCAAGTTGCAGTTACTATTATTTTAGATACAAAAAGGTGTCCAAGATTGATGGTCCACTGACTGTACCTTCCACAGAGGGTGTGTTTTCCTTTTGTCCCTTAGAACAGAGGACTGTCACAATTTTTTGTGACAGCCGAAAAACATTGGCAGGAAATGTTGCATCTCCATTGCAAGTGAAGCCTCTAGCTTGCAGCGTATTGTGTCAGAAAGGTCTAGTGTGGACTCACCCCATCATCTGATTACGTCATGGCGGATATTAAATCTGTAGCCATAAGAAGATTCACATCTTCCTTTACCTCTTAAAAGCGACTGATTCTCTTGTGTTGGCAGCTAATAAATTGCTTTCATGGAACTGAGGGCCGTAGCACTGAAATGTGTGGCGGACAGTTTGCTCTAAATAAATTGCTCGGCGCTATCTGATCACGAACCACCGTGAGGAACTGATTGGTTTTGCAACAGAAGTGTTTGGAGAGGGAGAGAGAATAGACAGCAAACACTTGTTGTGATCGAGTCTGAAGGATAAAAACAAAGCTGGTGTTACCTGAAGTTCACATCAGAGGAGAGGGTGAAGGCCACGGCCTGACACTGATCCTCTTTCCCATCCGAAACAGCCCTGATGTGACGAGAGAGTGAAGATCTCCTCTTTCAACAGCCTCCTTTATTTAGCCAATAACTAATAATCTGTGCTTTTTGAGAGTATGGATATGACATCTGGATTCGAGAGGATACGTAAACCTGTTGTTATAGATTTACATGATGAAGAGAAAAGTGTGCAAAATATGTATGATGAGATTCATAATTAAAGATTTGCATCTGTTATTTGTGCATGCATCTATTAGGGGACTTTTTAAACCTTGTGAACATGCAAAGCAAAAACTTAATGTGTTTATAATAACTTTAATAATCCACCAAGAACTGCAGGGTGTTTCATGTCAAAGTAAAAATTGTAATGATACACAAAATTAAAGGAAATACAGTAGGGCAAAGTTAATTGATTATATAAATCAGTTTTATATCAAGCACATTAACACTGTTCTGTTTTGATTAAAACTGTGACACTGCTGCTCTCGTGTGGTGAGAGAGGAAAATATAAATGATGATGTGATGCAAATATGTCCTTCTCTTGATAGATACATGGGTAGATCAGAATTTCATATTGTTTTTTTGGCCATATTGATAACAACGGCTGCACCTCATTAAATATTTTTACTCACTTTCGGCCTCTGAATAAAGATATGTTAAATTCAATGTTTTCGTCCTGGAATTTGAGCAAGCTTATCAACTATTATAGGCCTAGTCTACTTAACAAAAACCAGGAATGGAAACGTTTTTAAAAAGATTTTTAGATATTCAACGAACTGTTCCATTTCTGACAATTATTTGTCAGGCGTTACATGGTTATTATCGTAAAGCTTCCGCTAAGAAAAATAGTTCATCACAACACTGCAACAATTACAATATTAGTTTATACTATTATTATGTAACTAAGCAATTAAAATAGATTTAGTAACAATGTTGATCATTAAACAATTTAAGTTACACGTCTTATATTTTAAGTTCGCTCTAATTCCGCTCTTTGTGTCACAGAGGCTACAGGTTTATTTTTCTTCCTAGCGATGTTTTTTTTGTTTGTTTTTTTGCTTTATCTGAATACTCTTCAACTTCTATACATCTATCAGTTTTATGTTCACTGTCTGTGACGACGGTTTTAAAACACAAGACATGTTGTAGCCTAACGTAGCCTAGCAACGTCTTCGCTTTAAGTTAGAGGTCGCGGAGTGATAGCCTACGACATATATGAAAGTAGCACCAGTCGCTCGGCTGAGTGATGAATAGCCTATATGGCAGATATGAGGTAAAGACGATCTATTTGTCAGAGAGGTTTCAGAGGAAGCGCTGTAAAACGACTCTGATCGTTAAGCATATGGTTTTAAATCTATCAAACTAATAATAGTGAATATATAAAATTATTATAGGGTATTGCCAGTCTGCATCCCGTGAATCTCACTTCTCAGTCCCCTCACTGCGTCTCAGGGCGATGGAGAGCCACAGGTGCGCACAGGCTCAGGCTCAGGTGAGTTCGGGAGTCGGTTCCCCGTCCTCTGGACTCCCTCACCGGGCGGCTCTGATTCTGGCCCGGGGTGGCAGTAAAGGAATCCCTCTGAAGAACATCAAGAATCTGGCCGGTGTTCCTCTCATCGGATGGGTTCTGAGAGCTGCCTTGGACTCAGGAGTCGTTGACAGGCAACTACTTTTGAGCTTTTCTTAACGGTTTTAATATTATCGCTTTAATACTTTTTTGTTGTTGTTGTTCATTATACTTTTCATTATTTTGTAGGCTATTAAACCAAACTGATCTGGGAAATAAATGAAATAGGCTATTGGCCGCACGTCTATTTACGCATGTAGTCTGTTTTAGTCTTTTAACTAAGATTAAAATAGGCTTTTAGTCTCAATTTGTCTTTTGTGAGAAAAATTGAGTTTTTTTTTTTTAATGACTGATGTTACTATGTGTGTCAGCGTGTGGGTTTCCACAGATCATGATGAAATTGAGCGGGTCGCAAAAGTCTGGGGTGCGAAAGTTCATCGACGCAGTCCTGAAGTTTCCAACGATTATTCCAGCTCTCTGGAGACCATCCAGGAGTTCATCCGACTGAGACCCGGTGAGACACACCTTCATCATCATCTTACTTTCATTTTATGCCTAAAAATTGACAACTTTCTGACATATGAGGGTTTGAAATGCTAGGTAACATGGGGGAAGATGCCCCCCTTAAGAACAATGTCAATACTTTTAAACTGTGACATATTTAGGTATTATAAGTTTAGTATGTGCTGAAAAATGATGTCTCAGCCAATGTGTTATGATAGGAAATAAATAGAAACGTTTGCGAATTTAGTTATTAGCACAAAATGTAAAACAGTAAAAGAGGGGTTAGATGGCCCTAAGAAGCAAACACACACACACACACACATATATATATATATATTTATATATATATATATTTGTATAATCTATATATAAGTGTCATTCATGTAAAATAGCCTACTAAGTCAAATATTTTATTTAAAATTTTATTTTGACAATTTAGTTGATAATTATTGAATAACCGATGGCAGACAAAGCAGAATCCCAGGAAAAGAGTTTTGTCTGAAAGGTAAATTAGTCTTTATATATATTTAATTGCCCAATTTTATTTGAAGATGTCATAATAGAAACACTGTGAAATCAAATTGAATGAATTTTCACTCAATTAAACTATAGGTTTTAATGAAAGCAAAGATGTCTGAAATGTACATCTAATTCATGGAAATATTACAAAATAGTAACCCATATATAAAAATAATATAGGCTAATAATAATCCATAATAACTATGGAAAACCCCCCACCAAATTTATAGGTGAGAAATTTTTTTGTAATATAATAAAAAATAATAATAAAATAAATAAAAATAAGTGTTATTTGTGCATTCATGGGACTTTGTAAACATTTTAATCATGCAAAGCAAGTGGGATTTTTCACCCGCTGTGCGAACATCATACTCCTGATCGCTTATACAAGTCCTTCACAGTGTTGTATTTAACATCTCATTCATGGGTGTGTGTGTGTGTGTGTGTGTGTGTGTGTGTGTGTGTGTGTGTGTGTGTGTGTGTGTGTGACGAACAGTGCTGGATGAGTCAGGTGCTGAAACTTGTACAGAAAACAAAAGCATGTGAGATAAAAGTAATGCTTCCCTTAAGCACTACGAAAAATTAAGATTTTTTAAAATAAAATAAAATAAAATAAAATGCATGTGTGAAAAATTTATTATACAACAAATTGTATAATTTTGAAATAAAAATGTCAACTGTAAAATAATTATGGAGGGTCAAATTACTCAAAATGAGCATTAAATAAATTAAATACACAATTAAATTGTTAATAAAACAAAATATCATTCAATACATTTTTGAATATATACATCTTTGAAACAACTAAATGTGCCTAAACTAGAAACCTTTCAAAATTGAGTTATTTGGTCTTTCTAGTTTAGGCATATTTGCCACATCACAGTTATGGATGATCAAGTTACAGTAAAATATCTGTTGTTGACTTTTGTGGTTGAAGTTATTAAAATGTTTGACAACATATATAAAAATGTGCCTAAACGAACCTTTCAACTGTCATCTTTTGATTTGTGTGTGTGTGTGCATGTGGGTGTGTGTTTGTGTGTGTGTGTGTGTGTGTGTGTGCGTGCATGCGTTTCGTTTGTGTGTGTGTTTGTGTGTGTGTGTGTATGTGTGCGTGCGTGCGTTTCGTTTGTGTGTGTGTGTGCATTTGTGTGTGTTGGGGCCAGTGAACATTTTAGAGAGGCAAGTAGAAATTCAGTTTTTGTATTTTAAAATAAAAAGAATATTAAAATTCTTTAGTAAAAAAAAAAAAAAAATTGCATGTAATTTTTCCTGTAGATATATTTCTTTTAAATATTTTTAGGAAGCAAAAATAATTCATTATAATTTGCAGAGAAAATGATATTCAACAAGGAACATATTGCTGAAATTATGAGATATTTCAAAAAAAGCATGCATTTGTGTAACTTAAAGGGAGAACTGATACATAGCAATTACAAACAGTTCATTTTTATTAAAAACTGTTTACGGCCCAGAAAGGCCTCCATCTTTATTGTATTTGTCATTTGTTTTGTCGCTGTGTTTTAGAGGTGGACATCGTCTGTCATATTCAGGCTACATCTCCATGTCTGCACCCTCATCATATCAGAGACGCCCTACAGATGATCACGGGACAGGGGTATGACTATGTGTTTTCAGTGGTGCGCAGACACCAGTTTCGGTGGGAGGAGGTGGACAAGAAAGGTACAGTATCACGAAAACATCTCACAAACTCTCATAAGGAAACAATTGTTTAGTGACAGGTAGTTTAGATGGAACTACTTTCCTGCTTCCTTCACTATGTTCTTCATTATCTTTCATTGTAATTAGTGGGTAAGAATCCGACTTCGCCGAACATCGATGTGGCGCACAGACCTCGACGCCAAGACTGGCCTGGGGAACTCTATGAAAATGGCTCTTTCTACTTTTATAAGAGAAAGGACCTGGAAAACGGCCTTACACAGGTGGGTAGTTATCAAAATATGGTGAAAAACCTGTTCCTCGCTCTCAGTCATGGAAAAGATTTGTATAAAAGGCAAAATTTTATAGCACAGTTATGTAATACAAATATTAAAATAATTTAAAATAGAATATTTTATAATATAAAATAGGCTGAATCTATATTGTTTTAGCCATTCAAATTTTTTTTCAAGTCCCCGAAATGCTCATTGTCCCCTTTCATCTGGTACACCACTTATGAGATTGAGTTATTTATTTATTTGTATATCTTTTGCCTGAGGTTAACAATCCAAAATCCAAATTAATCCAAATGGAAAAAAATAATCAAAATAAACCAATGAATAATATAAAATATGTTTTGTCATTGATGTGTTGAGTGTTAATATCATTGAAAATACAAAAAGTAAAAGAAAAACTTTTCAGAAATGTTGAAATACAAAAAGTTCTTCTAAGTTCAGAGTAAGAAAAGGCACCAAAAAAAGTGTGCGTTTAAATGTTTTTTTTTTTCAGTGTTCACATTACAATGTTTAAATGTTCGCATGAAAGATTTTATTTGAGAATTACATTTTTTTTTTTTTTTTACAATTTGTTAATTTTAGTTTGAACAGAGGTAAGTATTTTGAGATGATTTTGACACCATTTTAGAAAAAGATTTAATAATCACTGATATCACAACCAGTCCTTAATTTGTGAGACAAACTAAAATAAAGTACAAAAGTCAAATGTCAAGATGTTCATAAATACTTCCCATCACCTTTTATGGGAGAAAAACAAAGTGAACTCAATATTTTTCGAGAATGTCCCAAACTCAAAAAAAAAATAACTCATTAGACAAACTCAATTTAATTGAGGGCAGGATATACATCCAAAAAATATGTGTAGCCAGTAGCCCCAACTCATAAAAACAAATTCAGGCAATGAAATGTAATTGAGTTGGGTCAACTCAATTTGATAAAATACTAGGGATGCACGATATAGGATTTTGGCCGATATTCGATATGCCGATATTTTCAAACTAATTTTGCCCGATGCCGATACCGATATATTTTTATTTTTTTTTAAGTGCAAAAAAAGCTTATTAAAGCTTCTATTAATGTTCTCAGTCAAGAGCAGTGAGTGATTTCCTCTGTGTTTTGTTGTTTTATTAACATTAACGGGATAGTTCTCCCAAAAATTTAAATTGTCATCATTTACACTCTCAAGTTTCTTTCTTCTGTTGAAATTATAAAAGTTATTTGGAAGAATGTGGCTAACCAAACAGTTGCTGTACTTCAGTGACTTCCATAGTATATTTAAGCACAAGAAAGAAATGAATACAGGTTTGAAACAACATTAGATAGACAGAATTTTTATTTCTGGGTGCAGTATCTCTTTAAAGACAAGCGGCAGAATATTATTACTGTCTCTTTAAGAACTGCACGCGAGTAACGCGACGCGTCTAATATACACGCATTTAACAAGCAGATTTTCTCTGTTTGCTTTCACTTTAGACATAACCAACTTTGTTTATGTAAACCTTGTGTGTATTTGACAGTATCAGCGCAATAAGACTCGAAAGATTAGTCCAGTATGCAGGCGCTGTGACAGGCTTTTAGTTCCTGTGAGCGTCGCGTGGAACGCGCTCAGAAAAGCGGATGTTAGAACAGCGCATCAGCACGTGAATGACATGTTTAACCAGCAAGATTTTGACGCACATGCAAACAATGAACTTTTGTGAATTGCAGTGTCCCGTGAGTGTAACTCTACCTCTGCGTTTACATGTGATGTGATGTGAATGTACGTCGCGTTGTACAGTATGTTGAGATGAAGGCGCCAGAATTGAACTGATAGAATGCACGATACTATGATTTTTCTTCAAAAGCAGATCGTGGAGACATTTTAATCGTCCACGATCAAAAACCATGAGACGCACGGCACACCCCTAGTTGGAAGTTTAAGTTGCTGGCGCTCATGCTTCGTTTACGGTCGTCACGTGCGCATAGGAAACACGCCACCCTATCGGCAAGACTCATCGGCAGAAATATTCATATCGGCCGATGCCGATGATGGTCATTTTAAGCTTTTATCGGCCGATACCGATGTTGTCCCGATATCATCGTGCATCCCTATAAAATACAGTTTAAATGAAATTGATTACTTTTAATAAAATTACTTTTTATGCTTGTCAAACTTAAAATAAAAAAATGTAATTGGTAAATTAATTATAAGTGACCACAAAATTCAAAGAAAATCCTCTAAATGTCCAACATAACTGACCATTAAACACTAACATCAACAACATATTTCCCTTTACTGAAAAACACATGAAATAACACTTAATCCCTAAATTTACTCTCCCAATGCAGTCCCTTGCAAAGCTTGCTGGGACTACAGATCCACTGCCCAGTTAGTTGTAAACAAAGATGATTCATGTAGTTTTAACACAAATGAATTAAGTACACTTCAGTCTTAAATATATTAGGGTTGATTGAACACAATTAAATTAATTTGTGACAAACTGTTATAAAATTGTTACTTTTGCTCATTTTAGGAAGCAAAAAAAAATCTTTTTTGAGTGCATGTGTGAAACCTCTCCACGAGAGCTCATGGCCGCAAACCATCTGCATTAGTTATTTTGATCTGTTCTGTGTGTTTTAGCTGGGCAAGATCGCTTACTATGAAATGCTGCCAGAGCACAGCGTTGACATCGACGTGGACATCGACTGGCCTGTCGCTGAGCAGAGAGTTCTGAGGTGGCGATTTCATCAAACTCTGTTTGTGACTAAACACAATAATGCAGATATAAATGCTGGCCTTTTCTGCAGGTTTGGCTACTTCGGCCGAGAGGAGAAAGCGGCGGTCAGGCTGTTTCTGTGTAAAGTGTCTGGCTGTCTGACGAGCAGTCAGATATACACGTCGGTTTCTGGAGAGGATCTTGTGGCCATCAATGCTCGAGACGTGGCAGGCGTACAGATGCTAAAGAGAGAAGATATAGAGGTACGCTTGTGTAGGCTGGGACAAATAACGGGACATAGTACCTTTACACTGTAAAAAAAAATCATTTTAGCAGTAAAATACTGTAAAAATACTATGGTAAACACCTGATCATTTATTAATGGGAAGTTTCCATCTAGTAAAAACCTGTAAATATAACAGGACATTTTAAGTATAATTTTACATTAAAATGCTGTCAAATGTACAGACTTTGGATGTAAAAACATAAAATCATCTTATAATTTACAGTAGTATGTTTCCATCCACCTATTTTTATCAGTGATTTTTATACAAATTGTGGGATATGCATAAATGGGATACCATACACTGTAAAAAGAAAAGAAGAAAATTCTGCCAACCACAGCTGCTGTTAATTTCCCTTTTTTATGGAGTAGCTGCACCTATGGCCATTTATAAACCACTTTATTTGTTCATACATCTATTATTGTCAATAGCATGCAACATTAAGAGCAGAAGAACATGTATTAAGAAAGTAAACGGGGATCATTTGGATTTGATGTTTCCTAACTTTCATCAGGTGATCCTCATATCCAGCGTGAACGAGCTGCTGTCCAGGGCTCTCCTGGAGAAAGTGTCCCAGCAGGCCGGATGTGGCCTCAGGATTGGAGACCAGCAGAAAGGGCTTGATGTGAAGCGGCTGATGGAAAAGAGGAAACTGCGCTGGGATGAAGTGGCCTTCATGGGTCAGGGTGTCATTTTAAAAATCCAGCTAAACCATGTCAAGTATCATTTATTTATATAGCACTTTATATGCAAAACAGATTCACAGTAATAATCAGGAAAATAACAGAATCAATGAGGAAGACTTCATCAAATATGAGACAAATTCAAATTCTGCTAGAAAGACAATAGTGTCATTCAACTCAGTTTAGTGTTGATTCAGTTCAGTTCAATGTCGATGTTGCAAAATCCATCAAAGTTATTATGAATCAACTGAACAATTCTCATTTTTTTTATATTACAGTGTATATTATAAATATGTTTTATTATAATAATTATAATAATGATTATTATGTCAACAGAACCGAACAGAACCTGGAACCACATGCAAAATAATCAAATTGCTTATTGAGGTGATGTTTTCTCTCACAGGTTCAGAAGCTGAAGACGTAGAGATCCTGTCTAAGGTGGGGCTGAATGGCGTCCCGTGTGACGCACCTGTGGCAGATCTCATCGCAGCGAAATACACCTGTCAGAGACCCGCCGGCCACGGAGCCGTTCGAGAGTTTGCCGAGTACATTCTGATGCTGAAGAAAAAGAGCTCGTCACACGTGAACCAGGATCACATTGACAGGGCCAATTTTTAAAGCCTATTCCAGTTTCTATAAACAATCAGTTTGTGTTGCTAACATGACATTGGATGTAATTTGAATGAATAAAACACCTGTGTGTGTCTGTGAGCAATAAAACAGCTGTTCTACTTTATTTACTTGATCTCTGTCTAAACTTGTTCCTGCAAAATCAAATGCAATGTTCATTTACTTATTGCCAATCCTTTTATATTAATATTTAATATGCAGTGTGAATATCCTCATTTCAGTGACCCCCATTTTGGCTTAAAATGACTGGACTATATAGGCGAACTAGGCAATTGCCTAGTGCGGCACTTTTGTAAGGCCGGGAAAATGTGTGCCAACCGGGAATGAACAATTCACAAAATAGGCTATATGATTTGAGTGATGGGAAGTTCGGATCATTTTACTGACTCTCTTTCGTTCATTTGTCACGTCCCAGATAGCAATAAATCTGGGCCGAGTCTGGCTTACATTAGGCACTTCTGGCTTAATTCTTCTGGCACTGTTTTTTTCACACTCTTGTGTCAAACAGTACTAGGCTAAGCTCTGGCTGGAGTCTGGCTAACCAAAAGAAACAAAAATCAAATTGTATCTGTTTGGCTGAGCCCTGGCTTGAGTTCGGTCTGCCAGAATAAGAAAATATTTGGCTGAGATCTGGTTGGGTTTTGGTTGGCTAAAGAGTAAATAAAAGATCTCTGGCATGAACGTGGCATACGCAATGAAAGGATCGTTCATGAATCACCCATCAGGGACTACTGCAGGATGTCTAAACTACCAAAATTATCTGGTTGCGAATATAAAAAGAGGAGACTATTGAAGGAGAAAGCACACCAACAACAGAGGGGTCGTGGTTAAAATATATTGATCCAGGGAGTAGGCTATTTGCGCGCTTTTGAAAAGTAAGTTCAACTTTATTTGCTCTTTAGTCGTTGTTTAAGATGTTGAACCTGCTGATGATATAATGTGCTTGCGGACATTTCATTTGTGTGTTTTACGCACATGAGAAAGTGGTGTAAAGAGGTTTGCAATGGTAATTTGAGGAGCTGAAATGTGATTATTTGGAAAAGTCCTGTCATGACTGGTTAAAGAAAAATGCCAGCAGGCATTGGCCTCCTGCATAAACTTTGATATTGTTGACACTCGCGTTGCACACTATTTGCGTTATATGTTGGCCTATGGCTTATTGATTTTTGTGTGTTGTTGCTGGTATACATTGCAAATAGAGGGGCGGCACAATTGTTTTTCGCCTAGAGCGGCAGAAGTATGCCGGTCCTGCGTATTTGGTTTGCGACGACTCCCAGTCTGTGTTTTCTGCCGCCATGGCTGTTTTGTATTCCCTTGTGACTTTAAGTAAAAGTTCCACCTCGTCGTCTGTCCATGAAAAGAAATCTCTGGTGTTGGTGAATGGTCACTTGATCCGCGTTTTCAGTCGTTTTAATGTGGAGTGGACTGAGATCAATTCTAATACGCAGCTAAAACGCTGGTGTGGACGGAGATCGTATTCCTTTTAATTCTCCTTTTCTAAACTAAAACGCAGTAGTGTGGATGGGGCCTAAATAAACTGTTTTAAAGATTGACGTTTATTGTAATTATTCAAATTAGTTTCATTTCTTGTCTAAACTGCGTCTGGCCATTATTTTCTGACAGCCACGTGGGGAGATTGGGCAGGAATTTATATGACGTCCACCTGTGAATGCAGACACGATGGCTGGATTGCGTTTACATTACACTGAGATCCTATCACAATGCGTCCTCGACTACCTCCGAACCTGGACACGCTGATCGGATAACATTCCGGATAACATCAGAAGCGTGTTTACACTTGACTTTTCAATGTGTATGTGGACAACATCCGGATACAGGTCGCATGTTATGCCAAGTGTAAACGCAGCAGTGTTGCCAGATCGCGCGAGACAAATAAGCAACCAGGCCCGTGAAAACAAGCCCAAAACAAGCGACTTTTTCTCATAGACAGTAAAAGAGCTTTTTCTACAGAGCCCCCCTAGGTTCCGGGAAGAGAAAAATAAATACAACTGTGTGCACGGTTTTACAATCCGTGGGGATATAGTTTTAAACTGTCGGTACAGATTGTCAATTTACATCCATGTGGACAGATTGGTAAACTGTGTGCAGTTGTGTAAAACTGTGCACACGGTACAGTTTATTTTTCTTCAGTAATAAAGCTTGGCTGTCCATCTAGTGAAAAATGTTGATACTGCACCCAAATAAAATCTCACTGAAAGCTCATTTTTTTTGAGATATCAACCTAAAATTTGGAACACAACTTCTTCAAATTTTTGGCTTACATTTTCTTGCAGTTTTAGAGTAAAACATATTTTGTAATATATATATATATATTATATAAAATATAAATAATTCTATTTTTACATTGTTCATTTTCATAAACTCAAACTTGTATAACTTTTTTTCTGTTTCACTTTCATAATTTCATAATACTTCACTTCAACAATAATATGGCAAATGTCTTCTTTAAAACAAGACCAACCATAAGTCTAGGGTATTCCAAAGCATTCTTGAATTACAACCATTTAAGTTTGGATAGTGATTTTCATGTCTATCTATGCGAAAAAAGGGGGAGTGACAGTTAAAGGGTTAAACAATATTAAACTATAATATCTATATCTATAATATCTAAAATATAATTAATATATAAAAACTCTCCTACAGTCCAGACACCATCAGTCGCGACTCGCACGTATTTTCATTTAAACGTCACTCACTGACGTTTCCCTAACCAGAAAAAAAAACGATTGCCTATGGCGTTATTCCCCTGTCAAATGTCGAGAGCGCATTATTGTAGCGCGAAAGTACATTAATCTAATGCGCGAGCGTGAATCTCAATGCTCGCGCGCGGAATATCATGTGCCGAGCACGAATCTCTCTGCTCGCGCGCGGGAACTGGGCGCGCTCTCTCAGATACACGCTGTTCTTGTAAGAATTTTCTCTGGGCTCGCTCAGAGAATATGCCTGCAATTAAAACGTGTTCAGTGCAATCGCGAATCTCTCCTCTTCGCTTAAAGTAAGCGTGTATGTGCTTAGACTGTGTCCCGTGCATTCGCGCATGCCTAATTACTCTTCTCTTCGATTTCTTTCTCTTTGCTATAATTGCTGTCAAAACGGCAACAACCAATCAGAAATTGCTAGAAATTGCTATTCCATATGTTATGTAGGTTTTGTTTCCCCCTTTTTTCTGCTGTTCTGTAAAGCACTTTGGCCAGCCAGTGGCTGTTGTAAAAATGAGCTATATAAATTAAATTAACTTTAACTTGTGAATGTCATTGGTTGTTTTTGGTCATAATCCTTGTCTTTGTGTTCCCATTGTCTCTTGTCTAGCTTTGTTTCCCTGTACCATTGTTGGTGATTCTATGTTTAGTCCAAGTTTATGTTCATGTTAATTTCATATTGTCACTTCAACCCAAATCGGTTTATTGGAATAAACTATACTTGGGTTCAATTCAACTCGACTTCAGTGAACTACATTACACATATTATAGACATGATTCATGGGTCTTTTTTTATATTTTTGTCTTAATTTTAAAATCTGAAAGTTCTTGTTTTTCTTCATATAGGCCTATTATATAGGCTACCTTGTTATATAAAAAAAACATTAAGAAAGGTTTTAATAATTATTAAAACCTTTCTTAATGATTTTTTATTGAATAAAACGTTTTTCATTATCTTAGAAAAACATTAAGAGAACGTTTATATAATGGGAGAATTGAACGTTTGAATAACGTTCTTATAACCAAGCAAGAACGTTAATACAACGTTATATAAAGGGAGAATTGAACGTTCAAACGTTATTATAACCAGGAAATAACGTTAATACAACCAACGTTTATATAACGGGAGAATTGAACGTTCTTATAACCAAGAAATAACGTTAATACAACGTCTAAAAAACTGGACGTTTTGAAATTCCCTAGAACATTCAGAAATAACGTTTTTATAACTTAATGGGAACGTTATGAAAACGTTCTTATAACCTAAAATTGTTAGCTGGGGAAGAGGAGAGATTCGCGATTGCACTGAACACGTTTTAAGTGCAGGCATATTCTCTGAGCCAGCCCACTCAGCCCAGAGAGAGAATTCTTACAAGAGAAGTGTATCTGAGAACGCGCGCCCAGTTCTCGTGCTCGAGTAGAGAGATTCTCGCTCCGCACATCATATTCCGCGCGCGAGCAGAGAGATTCACGCTCGCGCATTAAATTAATGTACTTTCGCGCTACAATAATGCGCTCTCGACATTTGACAGGGGAATAACGCCATAGCCATAATTGCCCTGCTCTGCCTCTTATTGGCAAGTACTCGTTGCAGTGGCGGATCTAGAAAATGTTACATGGGGGGGGGGCAAAGGGGTGGCAAGAGGTCTTGGCAGGGTGGCAGGGGTAGATGGTACATGGGAATCCCTATATGTGAATTGCTTTAACAAAACAAACACAAAAACACTTTTAATCATTATTAAATGATTAGCGTTATTGTTTAATCATGCCCTTACACACTACAAAGGTTTTTAGGAATGATTTAACAAATCCCTCTGAAAATATCTTCAGAATACTGCTAAGTGTATAACTGGAAAGTTTGGTGTACATAGGTGCTACACAGGCTGAGATGTTTGTACTGGAGAATGACAAAAAACTCATTTTGAGAAAACAGCATTTAAAGATTTGTAATGTAAAAATTCATACTTTTTTTAGTGGAAACAACTATTTACAGACACAATATCTTATCAAATCATTAGCAACAACAATACAAACCACCTAAATCACAGCATTTTTGGCCTTCAACTGAACAGAAAAACAGTCAAAAACGCATATCTAAATGTCAGAGCACGTCACGTGATGCTGAACGAATCACGTTGTCAGAAATTGACATCAGCCAATGAGATTTCGGTTTTAGAGTTAAATGCCCATTGTACTTTCACGATTGGTTGCTGATTAAAAGGAAATGACCACATTTGGATACGACAACAATGTACAGGAGAGATAGAGAGAGAGCTTTCCAACGGAGATGTATGTGATGACATTGACATGCAGCGATCGCGGAGCAGCATGTTAATTTAGACAACTTTTGTTGAATTTAGGAGAAATCTACTGACGCAAATAGACAAAGTGTAGTAAAATAAAGTCCTAAATGTGTTTTTTTGAATTTTTTTCACCACAAGTCTGAAAGAAGACATGTTATTGAAGACAAATAGCCCAAAATCTTAAAATTAACCAGTGAAAAAACCCCCGATGTTTTTGTGTCTCGCATTAAGCTGTTCTTGTCTTTACTAAAATCAAAATTAGGCTAATCAAAGGGAAGAGTGCTCTTACAAATCACGAGGGAGCGAATTGACCGCTGATTTTGGCTAACGTAATAGACGCGCTGTTTTTGCTGATGCTGAATCGTCTTTAGTATACAATACATTCATTACAAATGTAACTTTAAGTTAAACGTGTGTCTTTAAACTACACCTGGGGAAACTCACTTCACCTTCAGAGGCTCTGGGGAAGCTCACTCTCTCCAGTCGGGTTGCAGGGCCACCTTACCGCAGCAGACTCGCTGTGTGTGTGTGAGCCGCCAACGCCGCCCGCTCTGCACGTTTGAATCAGGGACGCAGGGGGGAGGGGCTAATAATATATTTAAAATTAAAAATTAAATTGTTCACTTTTGGTAAATGTATTGTTTAGTTCACTGTTTTGAGAAGCTTGTGGACATAGTGGCAGGTTGTTTTTACAAGTACAGTTTTTGGATCATCAAAGTTAGGGGGGCAGCTGGGGGGGCAAGGCTCTAGAGTGGGGGGGCACCTGCCCCCCTTGCCCCCCTGTAGATCCGCCCCTGACTCGTTGCCTTCTGGGTCAGAGCCAATTAGAAGCAGGGTGTGGGTGGGAAGAAACTCGACTGTCTCCTGTGTGTATGGGGAAAGGGGAGGGACAGAGGGAACAGCCCTTACGAAAATTAACCATGGTTTTACTATAGTAAAACTGTAGTTAACTATGACTGTAGTAACCGTGGTATTTTGGTGCGAACCATGGTTTTTAAAAACCATGGTTTTGATACCATGGTTTTACTACAGTTATATTGTAGTAATACTACAGTAAAACCATAGTAACCATGACTGTAGTAACCATGGTTTTTTTTTTAAAACCATGGTTTTGATACCATGGTTTTACTACAGTTATATTGTAGTAATACTACAGTAAAACCACAGTAACCATGACTGTAGTAACTGGTATTTTTAAAAACCATGGTTTTGATACCATGGTTTTACTACAGTTATATTGTAGTAATACTACAGTAAAACCATAGTAACCATGACTGTAGTAACCATGGTTTTTTTTTTAAAACCATGGTTTTGATACCATGGTTTTACTACAGTTATGTTGTAGTAATACTACAGTAAAACCATAGTAACCATGACTGTAGTAACCATGGTTTTTGGAGTTTTTTTAAAAACCATGGATCATGTACAATAAATTGGTTGTATTGCCACAGTGTAGCCAATGTTTTACTAAATTATCTTGAATTACATTTAAGCCGTTTAGTTGCAAAAGACATCTACAAAATAACAACAGAAAGAAGTTACCATATGATACAGACTTTATTACAGAAATTACATCTGAAAGAAAATATAAACTTGCATTTGTTCTCACATGTGACAAAAACTAAAAAGTTGTAAAAAAAAATATTGGTGATAAAGTGGTGCTGTGCAATGGTTAAATTAAGTTGCTAATTTACAAATAAAGAAATAGTAATTTGTTCCAGTGTAATAATGATGTATATACAAAAATGACATTGTACAAATAAACATGACTTAGAGCACCTTTAAATACACAGCATCTACCTCCTCTAAAATGTCTGTAATCCGTGAACACGTGTCCAACACAAGCATGTTTGCAATTTATACTGTACATACATTAACAGGATTACAGCAATATTACTTGACAAGAACAATAAATACTATAAATTCAGAAGAAATGAGCCGTTCTTTTAAGAATGTTTTAAATGATATCCACTCACAAGAGATGAAGACATGGAGTCTCCTCATGGGGGATGAATAATGCACACTTTAAATTCTAGGTGAAAAAGGTTTTGTTGAAAAACATGTGATGCCGCATCCATGCCAGTAGGTGTCATTGTGAAGTCTGTCATATGGCCAGTAGGTTACAGTCCAGCTTTGGTTTGGTTCTGTCTCGACCTTCAGCCCAAATGGACGCAGGAGCTAAAATGAGAAGAATACACACCACATTAACACACAAGCTGGAATACTCAACTGCTATTGGTCAGTTGCACTATCGAGTAGCCATGTAATAATGTCCAAGTGTAATAATGTCCATTCAGCCAGTGTTTTCATAAATAACTCATACAGTATTAGGGCTCCAAAAGCCAAGCAGAAATAATGTACATTATATGATCAGCTGAGTGTATTCTCCTTTACTTATACATACTAAAAAAAAATGGTGCTAAACAGCACTAAAAGTGGTTCATTGGCTCGTAATCTTCAGAACACAACACAGTTTAAGATATTTTAGATTTAGTCTGAGAGCTTTCTGTCCCTCCATTGGAAATGTATGTACGGTATACTGTCCTTGTCCAGAAAGGAAATAAAGACATCATCAAAGTAGTCCATGTGACATCAGTGGGTTAGTTAGAATGTTTTGAAGCATCGAAAATACATTTTGGTCTAAAAATAACAAAAACTAGGACTTTATTCAGCATTGTATTGTCTTCCGGTTCTGTTGTGGATCCGCGTTCAGTGCCGCTGCTGACGTAAGACGCTGCTGACGTGTGTCTGGTGTGTGTGTGTATTCGGGTTCTGTTGTGGATCCGCGTTCAGTGGCGCTGCTGACGTAAGACGCTGCTGACGTGTGTCTGGTGTGTGTGTGTGTGTGTGTATTCGGGTTCTGTTGTGGATCCGCGTTCAGTGCCGCTGCTGACGTAAGACGCTGCTGACGTGTGTCTGGTGTGTGTGTGTGTGTGTGTATTCCGGTTCTGTTGTGGATCCGCGTTCAGTGCCGCCGCTGACGTAAGACGCTGCTGACGTGTGTCTGGTGTGTGTGTGTGTGTGTGTATTCTGGTTCTGTTGTGGATCCGCGTTCAGTGCCGCCGCTGACGTAAGACGCTGCTGACGTGTGTCTGGTGTGTGTGTGTGTGTGTGTGTATTCTGGTTCTGTTGTGGATCCGCGTTCAGTGGCGCTGCTGACGTAAGACGCTGCTGACGTGTGTCTGGTGTGTGTGTGTGTGTGTGTATTCTGGTTCTGTTGTGGATCCGCGTTCAGTGCCGCCGCTGACGTAAGACGCTGCTGACGTGTGTCTGGTGTGTGTGTGTGTGTGTGTGTATTCAGGTTCTGTTGTGGATCCGCGTTCAGTGGCGCTGCTGACGTAAGACGCTGCTGACGTGTGCCTGGTGTGTGTGTGTGTGTGTGTGTATTCGGGTTCTGTTGTGGATCCGCGTTCAGTGCCGCCGCTGACGTAAGACGCTGCTGACGTGTGTCTGGTGTGTGTGTGTGTGTGTGTGTGTATTCTGGTTCTGTTGTGGATCCGCGTTCAGTGCCGCCGCTGACGTAAGACGCTGCTGACGTGTGTCTGGTGTGTGTGTGTGTGTGTGTATTCGGGTTCTGTTGTGGATCCGCGTTCAGTGCCGCCGCTGACGTAAGACGCTGCTGACGTGTGCCTGGTGTGTGTGTGTGTGTGTGTATTCGGGTTCTGTTGTGGATCCGCGTTCAGTGCCGCCGCTGACGTAAGACGCTGCTGACGTGTGTCTGGTGTGTGTGTGTGTGTATTCGGGTTCTGTTGTGGATCCGCGTTCAGTGCCGCCGCTGACGTAAGACGCTGCTGACGTGTGTCTGGTGTGTGTGTGTGTGTGTGTATTCGGGTTCTGTTGTGGATCCGCGTTCAGTGCCGCTGCTGACGTAAGACGCTGCTGACGTGTGTCTGGTGTGTGTGTGTGTGTGTGTATTCGGGTTCTGTTGTGGATCCGCGTTCAGTGCCGCCGCTGACGTAAGACGCTGCTGACGTGTGTCTGGTGTGTGTGTGTGTGTGTGTGTGTGTGTGTGTATTCCGGTTCTGTTGTGGATCCGCGTTCAGTGCCGCCGCTGACGTAAGACGCTGCTGACGTGTGTCTGGTGTGTGTGTGTGTGTGTGTATTCGGGTTCTGTTGTGGATCCGCGTTCAGTGGCGCTGCTGACGTAAGACGCTGCTGACGTGTGTCTGGTGTGTGTGTGTGTGTGTGTGTATTCAGGTTCTGTTGTGGATCCGCGTTCAGTGCCGCCGCTGACGTAAGACGCTGCTGACGTGTGTCTGGTGTGTGTGTGTGTGTGTGTGTGTGTGTATTCGGGTTCTGTTGTGGATCCGCGTTCAGTGGCGCTGCTGACGTAAGACGCTGCTGACGTGTGTCTGGTGTGTGTGTGTGTGTGTGTGTGTGTGTGTGTGTGTGTATTCAGGTTCTGTTGTGGATCCGCGTTCAGTGCCGCCGCTGACGTAAGACGCTGCTGACGTGTGTCTGGTGTGTGTGTGTGTGTGTGTGTGTGTATTCAGGTTCTGTTGTGGATCCGCGTTCAGTGGCGCTGCTGACGTAAGACGCTGCTGACGTGTGTCTGGTGTGTGTGTGTGTGTGTGTATTCCGGTTCTGTTGTGGATCCGCGTTCAGTGGCGCTGCTGACGTAAGACGCTGCTGACGTGTGCCTGGTGTGTGTGTGTGTGTGTGTATTCGGGTTCTGTTGTGGATCCGCGTTCAGTGCCGCCGCTGACGTAAGACGCTGCTGACGTGTGTCTGGTGTGTGTGTGTGTGTGTGTGTGTGTGTGTGTATTCAGGTTCTGTTGTGGATCCGCGTTCAGTGCCGCAGCTGACGTAAGACGCTGCTGACGTGTGTCTGGTGTGTGTGTGTGTGTGTGTGTGTGTATTCAGGTTCTGTTGTGGATCCGCGTTCAGTGGCGCTGCTGACGTAAGACGCTGCTGACGTGTGTCTGGTGTGTGTGTGTGTGTGTGTGTGTGTGTATTCCGGTTCTGTTGTGGATCCGCGTTCAGTGCCGCCGCTGACGTAAGACGCTGCTGACGTGTGCCTGGTGTGTGTGTGTGTGTGTGTGTGTGTATTCGGGTTCTGTTGTGGATCCGCGTTCAGTGCCGCCGCTGACGTAAGACGCTGCTGACGTGTGTCTGGTGTGTGTGTGTGTGTGTGTGTGTGTGTATTCGGGTTCTGTTGTGGATCCGCGTTCAGTGGCGCTGCTGACGTAAGACGCTGCTGACGTGTGTCTGGTGTGTGTGTATTCTGGTTCTGTTGTGGATCCGCGTTCAGTGGCGCTGCTGACGTAAGACGCTGCTGACGTGTGTCTGGTGTGTGTGTGTGTGTGTGTATTCTGGTTCTGTTGTGGATCCGCGTTCAGTGCCGCTGCTGACGTAAGACGCTGCTGATGTGTGTCTGGTGTGTGTGTGTGTGTATTCGGGTTCTGTTGTGGATCCGCGTTCAGTGCCGCCGCTGACGTAAGACGCTGCTGATGTGTGTCTGGTGTGTGTGTGTGTGTGTGTATTCGGGTTCTGTTGTGGATCCGCGTTCAGTGGCGCTGCTGACGTAAGACGCTGCTGACGTGTGTCTGGTGTGTGTGTGTGTGTGTGTATTCAGGTTCTGTTGTGGATCCGCGTTCAGTGGCGCTGCTGACGTAAGACGCTGCTGACGTGTGTCTGGTGTGTGTGTGTGTGTGTGTGTATTCAGGTTCTGTTGTGGATCCGCGTTCAGTGGCGCTGCTGACGTAAGACGCTGCTGACGTGTGTCTGGTGTGTGTGTGTGTGTGTGTGTATTCAGGTTCTGTTGTGGATCCGCGTTCAGTGGCGCTGCTGACGTAAGACGCTGCTGACGTGTGTCTGGTGTGTGTGTGTGTGTGTGTGTATTCAGGTTCTGTTGTGGATCCGCGTTCAGTGGCGCTGCTGACGTAAGACGCTGCTGACGTGTGTCTGGTGTGTGTGTGTGTGTGTGTGTATTCTGGTTCTGTTGTGGATCCGCGTTCAGTGGCGCTGCTGACGTAAGACGCTGCTGACGTGTGTCTGGTGTGTGTGTGTGTGTGTGTGTATTCTGGTTCTGTTGTGGATCCGCGTTCAGTGGCGCTGCTGACGTAAGACGCTGCTGACGTGTGTCTGGTGTGTGTGTGTGTGTGTGTGTATTCTGGTTCTGTTGTGGATCCGCGTTCAGTGGCGCTGCTGACGTAAGACGCTGCTGACGTGTGTCTGGTGTGTGTGTGTGTGTGTGTGTATTCAGGTTCTGTTGTGGATCCGCGTTCAGTGGCGCTGCTGACGTAAGACGCTGCTGACGTGTGTCTGGTGTGTGTGTGTGTGTGTGTGTATTCAGGTTCTGTTGTGGATCCGCGTTCAGTGGCGCTGCTGACGTAAGACGCTGCTGACGTGTGTCTGGTGTGTGTGTGTGTGTGTGTGTATTCTGGTTCTGTTGTGGATCCGCGTTCAGTGGCGCTGCTGACGTAAGACGCTGCTGACGTGTGTCTGGTGTGTGTGTGTGTGTGTGTGTATTCTGGTTCTGTTGTGGATCCGCGTTCAGTGGCGCTGCTGACGTAAGACGCTGCTGACGTGTGTCTGGTGTGTGTGTGTGTGTGTGTGTATTCAGGTTCTGTTGTGGATCCGCGTTCAGTGGCGCTGCTGACGTAAGACGCTGCTGACGTGTGTCTGGTGTGTGTGTGTGTGTGTGTGTATTCAGGTTCTGTTGTGGATCCGCGTTCAGTGGCGCTGCTGACGTAAGACGCTGCTGACGTGTGTCTGGTGTGTGTGTGTGTGTGTGTGTATTCTGGTTCTGTTGTGGATCCGCGTTCAGTGGCGCTGCTGACGTAAGACGCTGCTGACGTGTGTCTGGTGCGCCCGAGCTTTTACAGTCTGAGGGAGACGCACGCTGGAAACAAAACAATCTTCGCAAACATGTCTAAGGATTTACACACAGAGGAAGACTTGCATTTTTGGTCCGGCCACCACGTATCAGCGCACATAAGGTACACACTGTGCAGTAATTTGCGAACGTTTTGTAGAGAAATAAAAACAGGTCGCACCACAACCATTATTTGCACTCGCACAGATGCTCCCAAATATATTTTTAGGTCGCACAGATTAAATTTCAGGAGCATATGCGACCAAACTGGTCGCAATTTCGAGCCCTGCCAGGGCCCGTTTAATGTTTAACTGTACGTTCACACAGCCACCGACTTGAGCGTCAAACAATCTCTTCAAAGAAGCTCACGGTGACACCGGTCAAATCGGTGTCACCGTGAGCAAATGAATTGCATTCCGGCTTTAAAACGAGTGTTCGTAAATATTTCAAATAAATGTTGCGCTCATGCGGTCCCTATAAGCAAACAAAGTCATGTCATAAATGATAGGAAACCCAGCAACGGCGATTATTAGCTTCTCTTCCATTTTCTCGGAACTAATGTTTTGGTAGGAACTAAAGTTTATATCGTATGTTTCTCCGGAATCAGCCAGCGCGAAGGACGTCTATATTCTGATTGGTTGCTGGCGTTTTGCCGCCAGTGTTGGGGAGTAGTTAACTACAAGTAGCGACGCTACTAACTTAACTACATTTTTCAGTAGCTTGGCAGTAGCTCAGTTGCTTTTTAAACAGTGTAGCTTTTCCAGTAGCTAACTACTTTTTGCAGCAAGTAGCGGTGTAGCGCGAGCAAAAGCTACATTGCGTGTTGTTGAGCCTGCGCGAAGCAAGCAAGGATATTCTTCTTCTTGTTAGATTACAAACTAATGTTTTTGCCATTACCGCCACCTGTTGTTTAATCACGCATCTTGCGGCTAACGGTTCACTGACGTACAGAAGACCTCAAGCAAAAATTTAAGGACGCACATACAGGTGATTAATGGCCACTTTAAATGTATTAATTTTCCTGCTTTGTTGCTCTCTATGTTACATCAAATTTTTATTTCTGATTTAATTACATTGAACCGCCATGATCTGTCCACCAGTTTGGTAATGAACATAAAAGACCACTAAAGTTTGCGCCATCGTGTTTGTCAGTTGAACAAAAAATGTAATCTTAGTTTTTTTTTATCGCACGACAAAGGCTTTGATCTAATTAAATTGGTGTATAGATTTGTTGTGACTGGTTTCAGAACTGTGAACAAGCAGCTTGTGATTCAGGTTCTTCTTTCACAGTAAATTCTGCTAATTCTGCGAGCTCGCTGCGTGTGAGCGAGTTTAACGTGCATTGTCAGTGCCACATGTGAGCGGTTGTTCAATGTATTTTCTTGCCAAAATGCAACCATCTCACAATCGGTATTTTTGACATGCAATTTACGTTGTTCTTGCATATTTTGTTCTTGCAATGTTGTATTTGTTGCAATTTTGCACTTTTGACACAGTCTGAGATATTTGAGTGTTGTGTGTAATAAAACAATAAAAATCATAATTGTATTGCATTGTTTTAAACACTAAATATTTTACTTAAAACATTCCTCAGACACTTATTCAGTTATTTATAATATATGTTGTTCAAAAAAAGCAAAAGTGGTTTCAATGTAGCTAGCTACTTTTTGATCGTAACTTGTAGTGTAGCTAACTACTTTTCCAAAAGGGTAGCTTGACTGTAGTTTAACTACTTTAACTTACGAGTAGCTTGTAGCTTGTCAAACTACAGTTTCAAAGTAGCTTCCCCAACACTGCTTGCCACTGAACCGCGTCACAGCTCATTACCATAAAGTTGAGCTTCTTTCAACTTTCTGATTGACGCTCAACACGCTCAAAACGCGACGCCGATGGATTTAACGCTCCTTGCAGCTGAGAAAAGCCAGCTTCCATTGAAAATGAATGACTTCCGGCCGCTTTGGAAGCTCAAGTCGGCGGCGGTGTGAACGTACAGTAACACCGGGTTTCGATACCCATCTCTACATATGGGTGAGTTCATATGGATGAAGGCCTGTTGTGTTCTGTCTCTTGATTTGTGATAGTGGCAGCTATTGTGAAACTCACCTTCTTCATCTACTGAGTGTGGATGGCATCAAGATCTTGTCCTGAAGAATCACAGGGCCAAACGATTATATCTCATCTGGTAACAAAAGCATAGCCATAACTTTAAGATCCCCTGAATTAAAGAATTTCAGTATTTATCAGTAAAAAATACATAAAAATAAATAAATACCTTTGAGTTGGACAGTATGTTGTCTGTCTCATTGGCCAACATAATTAAAAACACGCCTAGAGAAATCAAATAAAATATACCAATGACCATGATATCCTGTTATCATAATAGTTAAATTAATTATTATAACTATGACCATTATAACATTTGCCACGGATTATTTGGCTGATTATTTAGCCTACAGGCTTCTCAAGGACAGTCTCACTGAAAAAAAAAAAAGTAAAGTGTGAGACTTCATTCAAAAGCATATATCCTACAGACCCCCAACTTTTGAACAGTAGTGCACTGTATGTTTAAAGTTTTGCTTACTAGTCGAGTTCATAGCCGTGGAGATTTTCTTGGACAGGGTGCAGCAGGCCATCAGCATGATGATGATCTTCTAGAACATAACATGCAATGTGTCACAGAGCCAACAATGTTACATAGGATTTACAATAGAACATAGGGTTTATTACAAGTAAGCAAGCTAGAGCAGAGATGAAATGCAGAAATGAGAAATAATATATATATATATATATACATATTTATATACATCTCAAGGTAATATATATTGTGAAATAAATCATCTGGAATTATTATCATGATTTACAGTAATTTCCCCTTTGTTGTGGAGGGTTTTTTCTGTCCCGCCTGAAATCCCTTTTTTTTTTTAATTATCAGTATTTGTAAGTGACGTCACTGATTAACAGTAACCGTTACAGTGAACTATTTTAGGTTAAATAGCTTACTTCTAATCACCCATTGACAAATTACCAGCAAAACAAAACTATCAAAAACTGTTATCAACACAAAGATGTGGTTAAAACCCCAAACTTATGTAACGTTAAAACAAGATTTCCAGTGTAACGTTAACTTACCTCTTCTGAAAACAGTTGAGATGCTAACGGACTTTTTCGAAGACACAAACCCATTTCTATAAAGTAAATATTCAACAGAGCGTATTAATTACACGTAAGAAGGGTGTCAGGAACGTTTGTATCTATTATTAGTGTGATTTTGTTAACTAAACTTACCTGAAAGCAGCGAAAACAACAGCGAGAGAAGTTACTTTTGCTGTGTGTCAGTTCAGTTGATGACGTTTCCTCGTTTCCATCTGATCGCGCGCACGCTCCTGTCTTTGAATGCGACTCGAATGTTTACGCGCACGCGCATTAAAACCAGAACACTTCAAAGGCACGCAGCATTTAAATAAACATCTAGAATTATAACATTTTAAATCATGATTTTAAAACTCATTGTGTAGTTCTATGACCCAATCACTTCTATATTTTTTATACCATCACTTTGCTTTTGCTTTTATTTTTATTATATATAGGCCTAATTTCTCCCATTCTTTATACGAGCAACCATAGCTCCGGATAGATAAATTTTTCTGTCGCAGTTTTTTTTTCTTTTTCTCTGTGTTATAAGTGTTGTAACACTTATAACGGGACACACATGTCAAGTGCTGAGAATTCAGTAGGCAAAAAAATTATATTTAATGATAAATAGTTATGACATTTTGGGTGTATGAAAAATAATTAATAGATGACCAGATAAACTCATTAGTAGACAAATTTATTTATATATATATTATTTTATTTATTCAATTTCGTTTATATATATATATATATATATATATATATATATATATATATATATATATATATATATATATATATATATATATATATATATATAAATGAAGCATGGGTATGCATAAGACATTATTTTTATATATATATATATATATATATATATATATATATATATATATATATATATATATATATATATATATATAATCAGTATATATTGTGACACTGGACCACAATTTATATATATAACTATTATAATAAGATTATTTATGACATTAAGATTATTGTAGTAAGAGTAATAAATAGCTAAATCTGTAATAAATATATACTGTAGTAAAACTATTCTTCATTTTGTAGTTGGTTCTGCTGCAAATGCTGTGGTAAAACCATGGTTAATTTTTGCATTTACTCTGGTTTTACTACAAAACTATATTAATCATGGTTACTGTAGTAAAAACCATGGTTATTTTCGTAGTTACTATGGTTTTACTACAAAAACCATGGTTCATTTTATGGTTACTATGGTTTTACTACAAAAACCATGGTTCATTTTATGGTTACTATGGTTTTACTACAAAAACCATGGTTAAACCAAGGTTATTGTAGTAAAACCATGGTTCGTTTGTAGTTACTATGGTTTTACTGCAAAAACCATAGTTAAACTATGGTTCATTTTGTAGTTACTATGGTTTTACTACAAAAACCATAGTTAAACCATGGTTACTACAAAAAAACCATGGTTACTACATAAAAACCATGGTTAATTTTCGTAAGGGAGGCAAGACAAACTCCTAGTCTAAATAACATATAGAAAATATCTGCTTGACAACGATCTGGGAACAAGCCCAAATAAGCAACTACACTTTAGAAACAAGCCCCAAAAAACCGTGACCGTCATTGTGGACACAAGCCTGCAGTAGGGACTGTTTACCTCAATCAATTTTATATTAGTGTATATTATAAATTATTTTTCCATGCACATCATTATTATAATGATTATAATAATTATAATAATGATTATTATGTCAACAGAACCGAACAGAACATGGAACCACATGCAAAATAATCAAATTGTTTATCGAGGTGATGTTTTCTCTCACAGGTTCAGAAGCTGAAGACGTAGAGATCCTGTCTAAGGTGGGGCTGAATGGCGTCCCGTGTGACGCACCTGTGGCAGATCTCATCGCAGCGAAATACACCTGTCAGAGACCCGCCGGCCACGGAGCCGTTCGAGAGTTTGCCGAGTACATTCTGATGCTGAAGAAAAAGAGCTCGTCACACGTGAACCAGGATCGCATTGACAGCGCCAATTTTTAAAGCCTATTCCATTTTCTATTCTAAACAATCAGTTTGTGTTGCTGTTATAACATGACATTGGATGTAATTTGAATGAATAAAACACCTGAGTGTGTATTTACTTGATCCTTCTAAATCAAATGCAATGTTCATTTAGTTATTGCCAATTCTGTCAGGTGTGGTGGTGGTGAAAGGAGCAAGGACTCAAGTGCAGAGTTGATGGGTTTTTAATAATAATAAAATAAAACAAAACAGACAACAAAGACTACCCTGAGGGGGAAAACAAGACAGACTTGAACGACTTTTACTTTGACTTTCAAAGAAGCCATGTGCTCACACAAAACGAGACATGAACATGCAGCCTATGAAAACACTCATAAGCCACGTGTTCACACAAAACATGACAACATGAAAGCACACAGCAAGTGGAAACACATGCTGCGTGCTACACAGCACAAGACAAAACATGACATGAAACAAGGCACACAGACAAGACAAAACATGACATGAAACAAGGCACAGACAAGACAAAAAAGAGTGTCAGGGCTCTGTCACAAAACCAAGAAATAGACTCTTTTTTTTTGCCTATTCTTTTGCGTCCAAGTCACGTGACTTTCAAGATTCCGGCCGTGAGAACAAAAAACATGGCGGACATTTCTCAAATTTTTTGTGAAAAAATCAATATTTAGAGTTAGTTTCTGCCTAAAAATAAGTTTTGATTACATTTCTAGCGAAAAATATATATATCTTATTTTCATAATATTCACTCAGTGAATCTACATAAGCACTCACTTGCTCGTTGTAGCGAAGATTTTTCAGATCTCGCCAGAAAAATGTGAAACTGATTCGTTTTGGTTGCTATGGACCAGGGCTGCAACAACGAATCGATAAAATTCGATTATTAAAACAGTTGGCAACGAATTTCATTATCGATTCGTTGTGTTGCGCAATTATTAGGTTGCGCCAGTCAATAATACGCAGAGATGTTTGAGTATAAATAAAAAAAAGTTGAGTTGAGTGGGGAGCGGAGCAGATCTATGAGGCGCCGGACTGGACAAAAGCGAAGCGAACTCTGCGAGCGCGCGAGAGAGACCGAAGGCCTTTCTCAATCTGTGTTCTTGTCTGTACTTGTGTCCTTGTGTTCTTGTGAAACGTCATCTTTTGTGGCCCAAGTACTGTCCCAATACACAAGTTTGCATTTTGGCAAGAACGGTTAAAAATCCCGGATGTGTTCTTGACACGCCCATTTTACCGAGGATGCATCGGTTGGTAACTTGTGTGAACTTGACGGCAGAAATATCCCAGTATTCAATTTGGCATTCGAGGAAGGAGATGCAGGTCAAGACAGTAATTCGTTTTTCTACAATTACGTACGCTATTTCATCACTAAATTAGGGTTCTCAAGTTTTATCAAAAGCTTGGAGTGAGATTACATGCGGTTATGGGAGGAGCCCCAGTGGAGCCCCGCCCCCCAATTTTACCCATTGTTCATAATAAACCAGCACAAATTCAAATTATAACAATTGGTAAATCTGATAAATGACAGAGCAATTCATCACATCAAATATACTCTTTAATGTTATATTTCAAAATTACATAAATATAACAAATTGCTCCAAACAGTTTGAAAAAACATATCTTTTAGCATTTTTCCCTGACATTTTTGAAAAATACAAATGCAATGGCAATGATTAATGTATGTTTTGACAGGATATAAAATATTACCAAGAGCATTAGCTCTCTGCTTTAATACATGTAGGCTAGCCTTAATGTAACTAGAAAGACTAATAGGCCTACAGTATAATATATCATTTAAAATAAAAATGCTAACATTTCCCTTAGCCAAAGCTTCTGGCCTGGTTGCAACGTAGTTGTAGAGTTTTTGACTGCATCAATAATAATGTATACGATGGGCTATACATAAAATGTTCTATCCTAAAAATGTTAGACGAGCTTTCTTCCAACTTACCTTCTCCATCACGACCTATGATCACGACGTGTGTTCGCGCGATGTTGATTACCTAGTGTAGGCTACGGTGGCCGAGAATGTGTGTGCGTGTGTTCGCGCGGTGTCGCAGTGGCCGAGAATGTTCAGTCAACTTCCATATGTTCGCGCATCTATGTTGCCTAGTAACGAACGCAATCTGGCCGAGATACGGACGCGCTGGCGGCAGGAAACTTCACTTTGTGTGCCTGCGCCTCGTATACAACGTTATATAAAGCTTGCAGGACAACTTTGGCATTGCCTTTTCAGTGTGAGAATTACATGGTGTGGCGTGGGAGCGTGTGAACTGGCTGAATTGCGTGTGTCTCACGGCCAATGCGTGAGACTTGAGAACCCCGCTAAATTCACTTCTGAGAACATTTGATGCGAGAAATCAACTGTGTAGATTTCAAATATTGGCATTTTTACGAAAATTTATGGCGAATCGAAAATGTGCTCAAACGTTTTCGGGAGTGAGAATCTCCATAAGTGCCTGCGGGTGTTAAGTTAGCTAGCGAGCCAACCGGCCAGTTTGCTCACAGACTCGTGTTACCCCACGGTCAAGAGACCATTGCAGCCTGGCAGTTATCGTCAATAATTCTCGTTATGTTTGGGTATTGCAGACGGCGTCTGTGCGGGGGAATTATTGCGCAATACCAGCAAGAACACATCGTCTCAAACTGTCAGCAGCGTTCTGTGTGCTCTCGTTACCTTGTGAGTTCATTCTTCCAAGAACAACTAGCAAGAGCGTTCTCCCCAAGAACACAAGTCCGTTCTTTGCATTCTTGGTTTTGAGAAGTGTGTCCGAGATCACGCGAGAGAGACCGAGTGTGTCCGAGATCGCGCGAGAGAGACCGAGTGTGTCCGAGATCGCGCAAGAGAGACCGAGTGTGTCCGAGATCGCGCGAGAGAGACCGAGTGTGTCCGAGATCGCGCGAGAGAGACCGAGTGTGTCCGAGATCGCGCGAGAGAGACCGAGTGTGTCCGAGATCGCGCGAGAGAGACCGAGTGTGTCCGAGATCGCGCGAGAGAGACCGAGTGTGTCCGAGATCGCGCGAGAGAGACCGAGTGTGTCCGAGATCGCGTGAGAGAGACCGAGTGTGTCCGAGATCGCGCGAGAGAGACCGAGTGTGTCCGAGATCGCGCGAGAGAGACCTAGTATGTCCGAGATCGCGCGAGAGAGACCAGAGCCCGTCTAACGGAGAGCCTTGGCACTTCCTATTAGCCCCATTGTGTATCATCTTGTTTGCAGTTCCATTAGAATTCCACTGGAGGTGATCACGGGCGAGTGCAGAATGAATGGGAGTCTATGGAGCTAAACGGCTAAATGTATCTCTTTCTCCTGCTTGTCGTTGAATCAAAATAGATTTTATTGTTGATTCCGCAAGTTCAATATAGATGATAGGCCAAAAGTCGAATGAACGAGTACTTATGTCCTTTCGATTTCTAACAGGTTAGGCCGTTGTTGGCCGGAACACGCTAGCATTTGGCTATTATGTGACGTCATCAAATTTTTGAACGGATTTTTAGAACAGATAAGTGAACTTAAAAATGCAATTTTCAGCTGAGTGTATTATCTTAGCCCTCCCTTTTCAATGTAACTTTCAAATTACATCCTGAGAAAAGTGGATTTCTGGGGGTGAAACCCCATAGACTCCCATTCATTCTGCACTCGCCTGCGAGCGCCCCCGCATGGACAGAGACGTGTTACTGCAGCCAGTCCAGTAACCGGAAGTAACCAGACAGTGCCAATTCTCTTCAATTAGACATAGGCTGCGTTCCAAACCGCATACTAGAGTAGGTACTTAATTTCAACGAGTACTTACTTAACGAGCGCTAAAAGAGTAGGTACTTTATAGCCAAATCTCGTTGAGTATGAATGCGATCCGGACATCATCCGCCATGTTGACGTTATCATGTGACCTATGACGCGTTATCACAAGCGCAACAACTTAAAAGATGAACGACACGGGGGTGGGGGAGGGACCAAGATGGCCGAGTAGGTAGACATTGACAAAATTTTGGGACAGAAGATATTTTGCAAGCTGTACTACTACAATAGAGAAATAAACCTTTTAAATAAAATAAAATCTCTGAAGAGGAAGACTTAGAGAATACTTCCTCAACTGATGAGGAACTGGGAGAGTAGTTATTAGGGAGATGATGTGTATGATGACTCTAAGAAGATGTTTTCACAGTGTGTTGAACCCAACCGTCCGTGCTGTTTCCATATTTTTATATAGTGCTGTGTGTTAGGAATTATATTTCCTTAACAAAACTGCCGTGGCAAAAAAAGGTTGGGAAACACGTACTGCTCTAAATTGTAATGTATACTCATGCATTTTCTGTAAAGCTGATTTGAAATGATTGTGATCAGCGATATGCAAATACATTTAAATTGAATTATATTGGTTGGGGCAGAGGCTGGGGACTAATGGGCTAAAATAATGTTTTTTTTACAGTTTCATTGGAATTTGCAGTACATGCTCTAAACACAAAGAAATCTTACAACAGCAGTAAAATAGCCTCAGGCTTCACATACAAGTTATTACAGCACGGACGTTTGGGTTCAACACACTGTGAAGACATCTTCTTAGAGTCATCATACACATCATCTCCCTAATAACTACTCTCCCAGTTCCTCATCAGTTGAGGAAGTATTCTCTAAGTCTTCCTCCTCAGAGAAGTCATCTAAGGACAATGTTTGCAGTCCAAGAATACTTTTGTATGTTGTGCGTGCTGTAGCCAGTTGTGCTTCAACTTCACACAATCTTCTCTTCAGCACACAGAGTAGTCCATCACGTCCTTTCTCCATTAAGCGCTCTGTACTGCCTGAGAATGTGACATTAAAATATAAAGAAATGAGCCAATGGTTACCAGAGAAGCAAATTGAAGAAAAAGACTAACTATTTATTGTCCTTACATTTCCCATTGGTGTCTTCAGTGAGCTGAAAGGTAAACTCTTCAATCAGTCCAGCAAACACTCCTCATGTACTCCATATGCTGCTTGACTTCGCGAACCACAATAACTTCTTCTTCTTTCAGTCTAGCCAGCAGCATTACCTTGTCAAACACATTTTTTTTCCGCTCCATATGACCTGCAATATATTACATCACCATGACCTGCAATATTACATCAAAGTGTTATCTTACAACCTCCTATAAAAATATTGGGACAGAAGATAGTTTGGATGCTGTACTACTACAATAAAGAAATAAACCCTGACAGGATGAGCCAGCGCTTCGCGAAGGGGTTCGATCACATCCATTTACAAATGACTGCATTCTTTTTTTTTTTTTTTGCATATTGCTCAGTGTCTTAACATTTTTTTTACATCAGATTCCATATTTACATCAAGATTTGTGCATCAAACAATTTGTATTCAGTGCATTTCAGAGGAAGGACTCACATTCCCATGGCCAGGAGTAGTTGTCCACAGCCAGGAGTTCATTGGGAGGAGGCAGTTTTTCAACTTCCCCCACAGTAGCATTGTGGTCATTGATGGCAACTTCCAAGGCTTTCTTCTCAACAGCAATCTTTCTTCTCAGTTGATGCCTTCGCTTATTCCCACCTACAATGAGAAACACAAAATGAGTGTGCATTCACACGATGACTACACAAAAGCACCATACAAAATAAGACTTCACAATATGCATGTACTGTTTACGTTATGATTATTGTGACAGATGTTGTGTGATCATTTTTGCATCACAAGTTTCATTATCATTTGAAAAATTGTGAAAAAACTTGGGAATTTTTTTTTAGGAATCTATTTAAAACAATCATATTTTTTTGGAAATAGAGGACAAAATTGGTAGGTAAGGACATCTCTGGAAATATTTGGATATTGCACTATTATGATTTTGACAGTTTTTCAGTATGCTGCCCTGACTTGTAGTAAACCTACTTAAAAAGATGTTTTTAAAAAATAAATAAATGGCTATTTATAATGGCTTTGCTATTTTTACCATGTATAAATCAGTAGTGAATTCATTTTTTTCCACAAATCTGCATTACTACTAGTGGCCTTTTCTGCTCTCACCAGACTGACGATACAGCTGAAATGTTCGCTGTTTGATGCCCAAATATAGCCCCTCGATGGTCCTCTACAGGTCATTTTGGATTGTTTCTCCTTTGGACGACAACAAACAAATTAATTAATGCCCATTTCAGTTTACAACCAGCCTTTTTTCAGATGCCCTGTACAAGAGCAGAGCCAATGATTCTTTAAAATATGCCATCAAATAATGTTTTCAAAGTACCTGAGGTCCACTGCTGAACATCAGACACCCACTGCTGGACTGTGTCTTGCTGTAGAGATAACTCAGCAGTGAGTTTCTCCAGGTCCTTTGTTGCCTCTGCAATCCTTTGTACAGTCTGTCCGAAATAAATATCTGTGTTAACAAAGGCTGAGACACAATTTAAAAACAAAAATGTTATTATGCATATTTGCCTAGTTAGTACCTTGATGTATCTTTTGGCCAGTGTCTGGTCAAGGTTTTCTGCCTTTCGCTTGTTCCAGCCACTTGCCTGGATTGTTAGCATGTCTGTGCGAACTTAACACACAAAGTATGTGCAGTAATTTAGGTTCACAGTGAGGACCAAAGGTCCGATACTACATGGATCATTCTCTAGTATTGTCACATAATTCTGGAAATAATCATACACTTAATTAATGTGTCAGAAGTAAAATTATTATAAAGAGAATCCTGATCGGTGTAAAAGTGCTGACTAGACAGTTGTTTTCTAAGGGAGCACCCATGCATGGAACTCTGAAATGCAAAGGCCGAGCATCAGTGTTCAAACCCCTTGGTCTCAATTTGGACACAACTATACATGAAAAATGCTTACCAGCTTTTGACATGTACTTGGAACATATGGCTGCTCGGGAGAGGAAGCTGTTAACCTGTTCAAGCTCCTCCCCGATTGTTGTTCCAGCTCCTTCTTGATTGCGTCCCCCCCATTTTAACTGTAACACATTTACATGAATGTTATCATTTAGAAGAATTTAAAGGGGTCATATAATGCCATTTTTGTACAAGCTAATATGATTCTTTAGGGTCTAAATTAAAAGTTTGTAATATACTTTAATTAAAAATTCTCATTAGTATTGTAAGAAAACACTTATTTTACCTGGTCAAAAACAGCTCTGTTTTCAGCACGCCGTTTCAGTGCATATGACTTTAAATGATCATGAGCTTTGCTCACCCCGCCTCTCTGTTCTGTGCGTACACCGTTTGTAACTCAATAACACAATAACCATAACGCGTTTTTCAGTATAAACGTGGGATTATGAATTATATTGAGAACGTCATACATAGAAAACATGCCGTAATGTACCCTGAGTGTAAACCTTAGACGCATTCATTGTGAAGCGTGCAGCTAGCGATTTGCAAAGATATAATATATTAATATAAAGTTTAATAAAACGTTACACTCACTTCCGTTCTTCTGGAGATTCAGAAGGAACACAAATATCTGGTACCGATCCTTTTTTCATGAGCAGCTTCTTAGCAAAACCAGCTTTATACTGACCCTCGTTTATAAGCAGTCTGGTGAGAAATGATTCGCGCAAACATGAGAGCATTGACGTTGCTCGTGGGGAATATTCCCTTCGAAAACAAACTCAGCCACTGCGTCTTCAGCGGTTCGGATTTAGGAACATTAAAATGACTGCTGTGTTCGTTATTACACCCAAGAACAGAATACCACAATCGCTTAGACGCCATTCTGCTCATAGACAGACAGTGCTCCAGCATATCAACAATGAGCATGCCGCACAGACTATGATTGACAGCTCCTTCATGAGCGAGGGCGGGTCTGTGTTGAAATGCTCCTGTCAATCAACAATCGTGGGAGGGGCTTCCGACCGTGTGACGTCACAGGCCCGAACGGCTCGATTTGAGGCAGGGGAAAACATATAAGACATACATATAACAAAACATACATGTAAAAACATACATATAACATATAAACCACTGGATGGATTTTTTATCATTATATGATGGTTGTGTACAGACACTGCCAACACACATTTCAGTACAATCAACTTGAAAAAGTGCATGTACCATTATATGACCCCTTTAATACAACAAGTAGGGGCAGAGGATAGACAATCATAATGTGTGGTACAAATGGTAAGAAATACATTGTCATGATTACCTCACACATCCATGAATGCGCTTTTGCGTGCATGATGGAGAGAAATGGGCGCATGTTCAGCAAGTCCTCCAACTCTGGACAGTGGTCCACAACTTTCTGCAGATATGGCCAATATTTGCAGACCACATCAGAGCAAAAAAACTGGACGGTCTGTGAAGCTAGCTGTTTCTGGAGATATAATGGGTATGCAAATATTTCTCCACGGAACATATTCAGTCCCTTCAGCAAAACCCCATGATGGCAGACAGCAACTTCAACACCTTCCTCGTCTAGTTTGCTTGCAGACTTGTTGGCGGACTCTCGTGCTGCGGTCCACTGACCAGCACCACATCTCCCTTTCCCTGGATTCTTTAACAGATGAGGGCAAATACAGAAATTTACAGTTACATTTGACAAAATAAGCTGTAAATCATGGTATTATGGCATTTGATGCAGTAATGCCACTCTATTACTTAAACCAAATTTTAAACCAAAAGTTTTAAATAAAAAATAAAAAAAAAAAAAAAAACTGGCAAGCATTCATAAATTTTTAAAATGTGGTGTTACACATGAAGAAATATAAATGTAGCTTACATGTCCAGTTGTTCCATGCATGTAATCAACAAAGATGGACACCTCAGCATCATTGGCCAAAAAGACTCCATCAAAAAACCCATCAGAAATGTATAGATGTGGGTTAAATTTACTGTATAAAAGTAATTTGTGGCTCACTAGCATTTCATTGTACATGAATGTTACACACCCTGGTTGACTTCTGAAACGATATAATTTGCGGTTCCCATCCACTGCAACTGCCAACATGGAGGGTGTGCATGCAGGGCACTGAAAATGCTGGACTTGAGACAGCTTGTCAACCTCAAATTTGGCATAGGTCCATTCGAGGAAGGCCCTCTGCATTGTGTCCACACATATCTTACCACTCTGAGAGCAAAAGTGAAAAAACAAAACAGTAAGTAACTGTTTCGAAGGTTGGCTTCAGACCGTGGTCATGACGAAGAAAGGGCTCTGTCAAGAAATATGTGCTGAAACTTTGGGGATTGTAAGAACAAATCCTAACAATGAATCAGTTATTAAAAAGGTGATCCAAACAAGATAACTTAAATGATGAGTCCACTCACTCGCCCGAAGAGTTTTGTACGACACTCGAGCATGCTGACAAAAGCTTGTCTCGACATCCCTGGGGCAGTGATTTTTAGATCCTCATACGTGGTGAACAGGTCCACCATGTACAAGGTCTCAAAATTGACAGTGGCTGGCCAGTAACCACTTTCAACCAGATCACTTATGGTCACTGGCAAGGTTTTTCCACAGGAGCAGTTTACTGATGGAAGGAAGAGGTTGTATCTTCCTGAAATTTCAGAGAAAAACTCTTGTTTTTCTCTGAAAGAAACAAGAAACAAAAAACACAATATGAAGAACGTCTCGGTTACGTATGTAACCCTAGTTCCCTGATAGGGAACGAGACGCTGCGTCAAACGCTGTGGGAACGCCCCTGCGTTGTGCGTCATGAAGCACGTATGGAATCAGCCCAATGGAGAGACGGAACGTCATAGGCGGGCGACGTCATCGACCAGGAAACCATAAAGCACCCCAAAAACACAAGCGCATCAGCTTCTGATAGGCCTGAAGGAGCGCTTAACGGGAATGCCGGGAGTATGGCAGAACGACGCAGCGTCTCGTTCCCTATCAGGGAACTAGGGTTACATACGTAACCGAGACGTTCCCTTTCAAGGGAACTTCGAGCTGCGTCAAACGCTGTGGGAACGCGAATACCCACGTCGCCATAGGAGCAAGTGACCGTCATGTGAGATCTAGCGCACAGCGGACGAGAGCACCTGCACGGTGAAGACCATCCAGTCGCATCACAAACCTCACTCAGGGAAACTCCTGACAATAAAGCTTTGGATGCAGCCATACTCCTAGTAGAGCGGGCTCGTACAGCCAAAGGTGAAGGCTGACCAGCCGACTCATAAGCAAGTGAGATAGCCTCGACCACCCACTTGCTCATTCTCTATTTAGACGCAGGACACCCTTTCCTGGGTGGCCCGAAACATACAAATAAATGTTCTGATTTCCTCCACAGGGCAGCTCTGTGGACATAAGCGTCTAACGCCCTCACTGGGCAGAGCAAATTATGTTTCTCCTGGTCTGACGACAGAAATGGAGGAGGACAGAAAGCCTGCAGAACTGTAGGTCTAACAACATTAGTAGGGACCTTAGGAACATAACCTGGCCTAGGGTATAGAAAAGCCTTAACCATACCAGGCGAAAATTCCAGGCACGAACTGCTGGCCTCAGCCTCAAAGTGCCACGAAGGAAACGAGTTATAAGCGGGTGTCTCCCAAGAGAAACTCCACTGAAAGGGACGTGGTAAGCAGCCAGTGCCGCCACATACACCTTTAGTGTGGAGGGGGATAACCCTGTGGAGAAACGCTCCTGCAGGAATTCCAGCACTGCACCCACTGGGCAGTTAACTGGGTCCTACAGGTGTTCTCCATACCAAGAAGTGAAAAGTTTCACTTCAAAGGCATATAGCTTCCTCGTGGATGGAGCTCTGGAGTGAAGGATGGTCTCAACAACCTCGGTTGAGAGACCGGAATCTAAGAGCTGGGCCCCCTCAGAGGCCAAGCCCACAGTTTCCATAACTCTGGGCGGGGGTGAAATATCATGCCGCCCGCCTGAGAGAGTAGATCCCTCCTGACCGGGAGCTCCAAAGGAGAGCCGTCCAGGAGAGAAACCAGGTCCGCAAACCATACTCGGGCCGGCCAGAACGGGGCTACTAATAGTAGGCTGACCCCGTCCCGGCGAACCCTCTCCAGAACTCCTGGTAGCAGAGCAATCGGGGGAAAAGCGTACAGACGTGACCTCGGCCACGGCTGCACATAGCGTCCAACCCCAGAGGGGCTGGATGAATGATGGAGAACCACAGACGACAGTGCGATATCTCCTTGGAAGCGAATAGGTCCGCCTCGGCGCGACCGAAACTCAACCAAAGGAGCTCCACCACCTCGGGGGTGGAGTCTCCATTCCCCCGGCCTCGGCCCCTGCCTCGACAGAGAGTCCGCTACCACATTCAAATACCCAGGAAGATACATTGCTCTCAGTGATAGTAACTTCCCTAGGGACCACAGGAGGACCTGACGGGCCAACTTGTAAAGCCGGCGAGACCGCAGGCCCCCCTGACGATTTATATAAGAGACCACCGACGTGT